GTCCGTTCACGCAGCCGGGGCGGCCACGGGGCCGTTTTTTCTCCCCCTGTAAGGTCGGTGGAGGTTTTCGATGTCAGCGGTGATTTAACCTCAGAAAACCATCTGAGGTAAAACTAGAGCTTTCTTATGTTGTATAATTCATATTGCAAAATCAGTTGTAAGTTTCATATTAACAGATGAAAAGGAAATAATAATAATGTAAATTTTATATTAACAGTTGAAAAGAAAATAATCCTTTACGGTAGCTGACAATGAAGAACAGCTTTATAGAATCATAGAATCAGTATATTCTGAGTTGGAAGGGACCCACGTTAATCATCGGGTCTAACTTTTAAGTGAATGGCCTGTACAGAGATCAAGCCCACCACCTTGGTGTTATTAGCACCATGCTCCAACCAACTGAGGTAATCTCAGGTAATTCAGGCTTGGTTACTTTAATTACTTTGTCACGGTGTTGCTGCAAACTGGGGCAGGACAGCATCAGATACTGGGTGTTCAGAACAAAACGGCAGTGTCACAGTAATGTGGAGAACCATCTCTTGGGAGTTCCACAGCTTTCAAGGTGACTGAGCACGTTCCCAGAACTGTGACATTCATTGTTCTTAACAGCCATTCAGATATCTTAGCATTTCAGTTCATTCTGAATCATTTAGTCATCCCTCTGGAATTTGCTAGTATTTCTAAAAGCCTTGGAATGTTACTGGGAACACAGATAATAACATTTTGTGGAAGATGACTAATATGCAGCCTGATCCATCCTCTGTGACTCACGCAAGCCAAAATAAACCTCTGTTCAAACTAGCTTTGAGTTCAGATGTACTGAAGTAGTTGGAAATTTCATCTGATGTCATTCTCTTTATCTCCTTCATCTCTTCTGTCTGGCTCTCAGTATCTTTTCTTCTAGGCAAGAATATAGTTGCCACAAAGATGGAGCATACTACTAAGAATATTTTATGACTGACATTTTAGATAGCTAGACATTTAACACACCTCTCATTTGCTTTCACAATCTTTCTGCATTTCTGTAATAAAACAATCCAAAATTACTGCCCGCAGCTCTGGGAACTATCTCAAATTAATGTACAGAGAACAGGGGTTTTTTTCCAGACAGATCTTAACAGGCAGTAGGTGAAATGAAGCCCCATGGGTCGTGTGTGCTGCGTCTCCTCTGGCCAGTGCAGCAGCCTGGGAGCAGGGCGGGTGTAGTTCCCACAGCAGCATTTGTTTACCTTCTGTGCTGGTCGAGCAACGTCCTGCAATATTTAGTTGCACATTTAAATAGAAAATGTGCTGCAGCTGAGGAGATTGAGGCTGGATCCAGTGAAGGGGAACTGAAGATGTGGCACTTGGCCAGGGTTTGGACTTGAGAGCAGAATCAGTCAAGAGGTGTGTGAAGGAGAAAGGGGTTGTTCGAAGGGTACCTGTGCTGGAGGGTGGGCAAAGCTGTCTGTTGCTGAGGAGTAGCTGTGTGCATTTGGGGTGAGGAGGAGTCCCAGGAACACTGGATGAGCATAGTGCAAGAATAGGAAAATTGATAATCAAACTGCTTTTCATAAATTCAGGGCATGGGTTTCACCCTACATTAAACAAGTGTTCCCAGTACGCTTGGTTCTTTGTTCTGCTTTAGCCCTTTCTGGGCTTTTCCATTTCCTCATTTGCCTGCTGAATTTCCTCCTTCAGCTTTTCAGGTCCTGTTTTTATTTCTCTTCCCCCCCCGCCCCTCCCAAATAATCATTAGAAAAAAATCACCTCGTCAGGCATTGGAACTAGCTGGCCAGGGAAGTGCTGGAATCACCATGCCTGGATGTGTTCAAAAGGCACATGGGTTTGGCTCTTGGGGATGTGGTTTAGTGGTGAACATGGTGGTGCTGGGTTAACAGATGGACTCCATGATCTTAGAAGTCTTTTCCAACCTTAATGATTCTATGATTACATTTCTTTTCACAGTCTAGATTTCATCCATCTCTCCACCATAATCTTGAAAGGTATTTACTTCTCCAACCTGTGGGAGACTATTTATCTTTTATATTTGTTCTTTTTTTTTCTATTTTCTGTGATTGCTTGTTTAGTAATTCCATCCTCTTTCACAGGTCTCCTTTCCCTTCTCATTCCTACTGCAGACAGTCCATCTTTTCCTTTCAGTTCCACTTCTTTCCTCCTCGTTTCCATTCACAAATTCTTCTGTTTCTTCATTCTTCCACTCCAAACTCTTTTGCCTACACATCAGTAAAGCCTTGGGGAGCCTTGAGCAAGAAATCTATTCTTTTCATATCTGTGTCATTTTGCAGATAAAAGGAGCAAGAATATTTCTCATCCCGATGGACCTGTCTTCTCTTCCTGCTTCTGCAGCCAAATATAATGCTATTGCTGTTTTCAGGTTCCACATTCCAAGAACTGACCTGCATTATATCCAGAAACTTTCCGAATAACAATGGCCAGACTGTTGCAAGATCCATCTAAATTCCATCCCTCAGAATGGGCTACCGCAAACATGATGCAGCGTGTCAGTACAGAGTCCCAGAAATCCAGGTCAGAGTGCATGATAGCTGAGAGTTGGCGGCTGGTGGATGAAATAGAAAAGACAACTCAGAAAACCCAAAGTGATGTCAACAAGAAAATAGGTAATCCCATGTGTTCTGCAAGGGTCAAGATGTGCTATTTGAGCTATACGTTTAAGATGGACTTAGAAAATTAGCTGGTAATGAGTAGGAATATATGTCAATGTCATGCTCCCTGATCTCATGGAAAAATTAAAAATATTTAAAAAATATATTTTGGGGTAGATTCTTTATAACAAAAGCCTCTTAATGCAGGGTTGCAAAACTGTTTCCACACGGCAGACCACAGCACTATATGTACTCCACTGTGGAATAAGTCTATTTTTTAGCCATATCTAAGATCTGAGCTACAGTCCTCTGGCATATAATACATGTTTGCAATTTTAATTCTGCAGAACAGAGACGGGAAGAAATAAAATTCTGGAAGCAAGAACTAGATAACAAGCTAGAACAAATTGTTCATGAGACAGAGTTACTGTTGACTTTCAAGAATAGGCTGGAGAGAGCTTTGGAGAGCTGCAAAGAGCCACTTGTCATTGCCCAAAAGTGTCTCCTGTACAGGTGAGATGATTAAGAAGAAAAGCATTCAAGGAGAGAAAAAAAAAAAATCTAGATAATGAACCTTTAACAAATAATAAAAAAGGATACAAACTAAGGGCCCATCTCTCTTTGCAGTGAAGTCACAGTCTGATTTAGGTGTTAAAACACTGAGAATCAAAACCATTAAGATATAGCATGTCTTCCCATGTGGCAAGGAAAAACGTTTGATTTGTAAAGCTGGGCTTCATCGTCTGTTAGCTGCAGGCATTTGAGCAATGTGGTTGATGGCTTTTACTCTTTTCATTTAGGCAGAGGCGAGTTGGAATTGACTTGGTGCATGATGAAGTGGAACAGGAACTGGTGAAGGAAGCTGAAGTCCTCCAGGGGATTATTGCTTTGCTGGGACATACATTGGAACAAACCAACGAGCAAATCAGGTGCATAGGCAAAGAGCATAACAGAGCAAAGAGCATAACAGAACACTGATTAGCTGAGAAGTAAGACAGTCGTAATCCTGTGAAGTTGTAGGGTCAGGCTGAGCACAAGTCCAAAGTTACCTTCAATGCTAAACAGTTGCAGGAGGTCAGTCCTAATTCATACCACTGAATCAGTAATGGTGAGAGGTTCTGTTTGTTAGAACTCAAAGTACTTGCACATGATCCTTGGTCTTCTCATGATCCAGTCCTGTGCCTTTCATTCCAATGAGAATTGTACCATCAATTTATAGGGAGGCAGCTTCATACTGTAGATTTTGGGACTCCACAACTAACAGTTCATTCATGAAGATTTCCATAAATGTATTTGAATTACCTCATACATGTATGGATGCACATTAAGGACACCTGGAAGTACCCACACTTTGGCTTAGAGTCTGGTTGTTTCTCCTCCTAGACAAAACCGTTCAGCAAAATACAACCTAGAAATGGATCTGAAGGACAAGTTCACAGCTCTGACAATTGATGATTACTGTGCTCGCTTGACAAATGACACTCCTGATATGATGTATGCTGATAATGCAGTGAAAATAGAAGGAAAGTAAGTAGTTCTTTAGTTCAACCAATATATGATGATTATACAGATAATATGAGCTGTTGCAGTAATAGCAAGATTAATTTTGTGTAAAAAGACTTTATCTGTCCACCAGCTGTCTGTTATAATTAGTTTTTATACTTCTGTCCATCGCTTTTGTATCTGTGTAATATGTCTGTGAAATAAGCCACAGTAATTATACTCCCAGTGAACTGCAGTTTACTAAAAGTTTTTAAGGCTCACAATTACCTAAGGAGGAATTTCACACGTTGCTTAAACCCAGAAGAGATTTACTAATCTAACTTCCTTTCCTCTCCCAGGGTGTCCTAGTGGGGAGAACACTGGACTGGGACACATGAGGTGTGGAGTCAGTTTCTGACTCAGTCATTAACCTGTCAAATGTGCCCCTTCTGCATGGGTTAGTTAGTGTGAATGGTTTAGATGGAGAAATAGCTGCCACAGAAAAATGGGTTGAAAAGAGGAACCATACTAAGAAAGCAGTATGTGTGAGACAGCTGTATAGCTCAGACCACACCAGTGGTATTGGCTGCTATATGCTTTATATATCCACCTAATGAAGTAAGGAACTCCTTATAAGTTCCTCCTCTGAGGAACTTTCTGAAAACCTGCCTGCAAACCACAGCTGCACATGGATGACCCTTTAGTTCTGGGGATACAGTTGGGGCTGGGCTTCCCAACTATTGCTTCAGCCAGGTACTGTGTCTTATAGGTACACTGTGTGAGAGAATAAGTGACTTTGTTGTGTGAATAACTACTTGCTGTTAACAGTGACAGCCATACTAATGAAAGGTGTTCTAAGAAATATTGGTTATTATCTGTGTTTCCCCCCTTAATAATCCTTCATTAGGGGAAAGTTATAACAAAGTTGCTCTATGACTTCAGCAAATTTGTTTTCATTCTACTCTCATCTACTTAATTATGAAATGTTTGTGACAAGGAGGGTCTTTATTTTGTATCTGTAGAATTCCCAGCACAACTGGCACTCACTGGGACGTGCAGTTAATAGGACTGCTTTGTTCTTGGTTTTGTGGCATAATTACAGATTTATGGAGTCAGAGAGGCTGCCAGTGGGTGACCTTTTATTTTTAATCTCTTTCAGTTTTGTTAGCCCTAAAGACTGGGTAGATTTCTCAAACATAAATGTTGAAAAGGCTGACAAGCAGAGAAACAATTCTTTGGCACTGAGGGCACTTATTGATGGCATCCTGTCACAGACAGCAAATGACATGCGCAAGCACTGTGAGATGGTGAATGTCGCTTTCAGAAATAGGGTGAAGGAAGTCAAGGATGCCAAGCACAAGCTAGAGACACTTCTTGCAATGGTAAGTCAGGGGACAGTCAGTAAAAAAGTGGAAACACTGGGCTTGGGTTATCTACCAGTTTTCTCAGTCCAGCGGTTTGCACTGATTTGCCACATTTTATTTTTCTTTTCCTTCCCCCTCCTCCCTAAAGTCATCTTAGATTCTGTTTTCTCATCTCTGTGTGCACCACCACAGAGATGAATTTCTAGAATCACTCATTCAATCTGTTTTGCTATAAATCAGGATTTCCCTTGTGATTTTTAGTTACCTGGGACTCCAATAAAACTTTCAGGACTGTGATATAACTGATAAAATCAAGGCCAATGTGCACAAAATTGGACAGATGAAAACTGAGTGTTAAAAATTAATTGCTGAGCATAAATTTCTGGGTTCATGCAGAACAGTGTCATCTGCTTTCCAATGAAGGAATCATAATCCTGGCTAACTTTTGCAAAATATCCTTTGATAAAAGAACAATATAATAAGTGTTACTGTTCTTGGTGTAAGTATTAAAAATGATGATTATTTCACCCATTGTAAGAGACAAGTGTGCAGCACTTCCTTCTGTTGGATTTTTTAAGGTGATGGATGAGACTGCCTCCCAGGAGAAGAACATTGCAGCCTTAAAGAAAGCAATAGCTGATAAAGAAGGACCTGCTAAAGTGGCTCAAAGCCGCTTGGAAGCGAGAAGCCATCGCCCCAATGTGGAACTGTGTTATGACAGAGTGCAATGCAGCCTGATGAGTGAAGTTCAAGAGATTACCAAAAATATTCAAAGGCAAGTGGAAATGATCAAAGAAGAAAATCTGTGGTTAATTTAATGCATCAGAGTAACAATGGGTCCCACCTATTCTCCCTGAAAGGCTGGGAATTGCTTTTCTCTTAATGGCAGGACACTTTAAGGGAAGCTGCATGGATATTGTCTCTGTGAATCCCTTTCCATCTTTCTTTTTCTCACTCAGAATTCTTAACCTACATGAGAAAAAAAACCTATCCATGTGTTTTCAACTAATGCCTGCCTGTATTTTCCCTGTTAGATTAAAGGATGCACTGGCACAGGCTGAGACAGAGCTGAAAGGTCTGAGCCGCCGACAGCTTTCCTTGGAGGAAGAGATCAAGGTCAAGGAGAATACACTGTATATTGATGAAGTGCTGTGCATGCAAATGAGAGAGTCTGTTTACATAAACAACTTCTGAAGCCATCACACTGGGAAACTGTGCTCCAAAGAACCAACTCCTGCTGAAATTTCATTTACAAACTTCCAAATTTATTGGTTTGGCTCAATGCTGTCCTGGTTCTAGTTGTGCAAGATAATTAAAACAGACCTAGTACTTACAGCTGTCTGTTTCACAGCTATCTGTGCTCTAAAATATCTGAGGAAATTTTCCACTTGGCAATAAAATTCCAGAATAATAAGAAATGCCCTTTCTTCCATGTTCTTTCTCTCATGTGTAACCAATGGTATCTTTTGCCATTGAAGGGTGGCAAAAGGTGGCTCTGTGCAAGCTAGAGCAGGAGCCTCCTCAAAAGTCTTTTGCTGGAAAGCTGGGCAAGTGGGAGGGGTGAATCTCAGGACTAGCCATGGTACGTTTTATTCTTATCATCTGCTGCTAAGAACTAGGCAGTATGTCAAACTTAACAGGAGGTAGGCTGATTCAATAGATAATGCATCTGACTGCATCTGAATCAAGTCAAGGCTGACTTTGCGTAAATCACTTCCTCACCTCATGTCCCAGTTTTCCTATTCATAAAATGGAAACGACGAGATGCTTCAATGGTAAAGTGTTTGAAGCTCTACAATGAGAAGTGCTGAAAAAAGAGGAGGGCATTCTTTTTACCAGAGATGCCTTTAAAGATGGAAAAGGGTTCCTTTGGTTCTTGCAAGGAAAAGCAAAAAAGGGCAAGAATAAATGATGCTGGAGACACAGGAGGCCAGTTCCCAAGTCCAACATTTTAATGCATGGAGTGTAAAATTGTCCCTTGCCTCTCTCTTGCTGTAATGGTATCTCCCTTTCAGAGGCATTGCTGTGAAGATTCAAATCTCCTACTAAAACCTTCTGAAGGATCCGTTAATGCAAATGTCACTGGGTGTTCTTCTCTCGCTGTGGTTTACACCATTGGGTAGGTGATGACAAAATAATTAAGTTCTGAGTCAATCAGGTATTTGAACTTCCTGTAAATATCAGCCAACAGCCGCTCCTCCTCAGTGCTGTCATATTGGGCAGTGTAAATCCTGACCTGTATTCACAAACAACAATCGTGATTCACAGATACGTGGAGCTCAGCCTATTAAAGCTCACAACAAGAAGAAGCCTCTGTGACTAATCAGGAATGTAAAGAAGCCAAATTCCTTGAGTTTGAGTAGAATCTTGAGGGTTTACTCTCTTCTCACTTCAAACTGACTGAAAATATCATCTCCTGCCAAAGAATTTTTGGGAGGTGTTGGGAGGAATGGGTTTAAAAGTGGAAGACTGGTGAGGAGGATTGTAAAAGGCTCAACTGCAGCTGGAAATAGCCTTTGATAACCCAGTGTGAACAGCAGCCAGTGGCCTCTGGCAGGGACAGGTTTAACCATGCCTGTCTCTCCACTTGTGTGCCTCAGCCCAGGGGTTGCTTTGGGAATTCCTCGGTTAGCAAGGGAAGGAAAATAAATTTACTCTTTGTGTTTTAGCTGTGGGTTTTTGGTTGTCCTGGCCTGTGTCGATTCACACTGGAAGAGCAAGGTTCCTTTTACCCCCAGAACTGATGCATTCCTGGGATCTGCACCGATCTGTGAGGATCTACTGAATCCAGAATACAGCACACAAAGTAGTATGTCAGCATGGTTTACACCAGCTATAGTTGTGGCCTGGCCCCAGTTCAACACACAATTCCTAAAGAGTGAGCTGTGTTTATACCTTCTTGCAGTTTAGTGGCATTCAACCCACCTGCCTCAGTTTAAGCATAGACATAAGCACTGAGCCTGAGAGGTGACTGAGAATCCCTAGAAGTGGGAGTGGGCTTGAACTATAGGTGACAGAGGGAATGCCAGTCTAAGAAGGACTTGTGGAATCATTGGAACTTCATATTAAACTTCTATAGTATCTGTACATGGCTAAGTAGGTTGGAAAGCCCCATTTCTGTGAGTGCTTCCCAGGCTCATTATAATGTGTAGGGAAGGTAGTTATGTTAATGTTTCTGTAAGTGACCTTTCTATGGGCACGGGGACTTAACCCTTCTCTGGGTATTGGAGAGAGGAAGGGAAGGGGACTTTTAAAGCACAAAGTCTTACCTTTATGGTAGTCAGAATGCACTTCTTTTCTGCACGGTTTTGTAGCAGCCTCTCCATAAAGGTGACACTTAGAAATGCCCAGACTTTCAGAAATAACAACCTCTTGCATGATAAGATAAGCTGTAGCAGCTCATTGTCCAGCAACTCACGGTCATTGTTTAATTCAAGTGTTAATTTCTTGAAAAAGAATGAACACTGTTAGTACTACTGAACGGAGCTTGTGAGTGCAGTAACTAGAATTCAACAAATAGTTTTCCAATTTAACCAACAAAAGTGAGTGTTAGCAGATCAATTTTGTACCCTGACATTAGCAGAGAATCTGTTTTGCATTATGACAACAGTATATGTGCTACAGTAATCTTCACTCTCCCATTAAGATGGGGTGATCCCTTGTGCATTCATTAGAAGATGCTACACTCACAGTCATGTCATGATCTTATTTGACATATTGGAAATTATCCTAGATATGTGAGTAGAGCCAAAGACAGTTTCTAGAGAGCTTTGCGGATCTCTGGTGTTCACCAGAAACTCTGCAATGAAACAGGGCTTAAAGAAAGCTGTCAGCAACCACTAGGTGTAAGGCCACATGCTTCTCTCAGGCATGCAAAGACCTGATGCTCATTTACATGGGTCAGCTGTTGCACACCTTCGGTGATACGTCCCCAGGGACACCAAAGTGCTTTGATATGGCCACTAGTTAATTTATATGTGCTGTAGGACATTTGTGCATTGCCAAAATGGAGCAGCCTGATAGCATAATGGGGATTGTAACTGGACAAGGATAATTTCATGAACTACACTACAGCTGAACACTGGAATGACTTATTTATGGAAAACCACCCTCTGAACATGAAAGTTCAGGAAGTTCTATTACTGACTGCTGTTATGCAGGCCTAAATGATTACTTTGCTTAGCTTTGTGATACTGCAGTAAGATGTTACGACTATTTCCCTTACCTGCAGACCATGCCAGTAGGCTGGGAGAAGGTTAGTGAGGGTAGGTCTCATTGTCCAGTCTGGGTCACTGAAATAGCAGCTCCGTAGGCTGATGCTCCTAACTGGGATCTCCACTAGCAGGATCCTGGCTAGGTGATCATGCTTCATGACTCTTTCAAAGAAGAAGTTCACATTCAGTTTTGGGGCTCTCTTGGCCAAATTTGCCCATGACATTCCCGAGACCACTTGCCCATGAGGGTCATGGATATGACACTTGATATTCAAGGTGCACAGAGAATGAGAGCTGTGCTCCCGCAGGATGTCCAGCAGTTCATCAGAGATGCAGTTATAGTTGAAAGTCAGGATGGTCAGGCTGTGGAACTTAGACATAGTTTGGTGGAACAAGGCACTGCTGTAGACAGAAAGGTGGAGACTGAAGAAATCCTCAATATTGATTTCAGATATAAAGCTTCTATTTGTCAAGCTGCTCAGAGAATTCAGAAGTTCACAGCCTTCTTCCAAAGTTATTCTTGCTCCTTTTAAGTTGAGATAATCAAGCTGTTTGCTCATTCTTTTCAGGAAGGTAGCTAAGTTCTTGATAAACTGAGCCCTGACCACATTTTTCCAGATCAAGCCGTCTAATTCTAGGTACTTGATGCTCAGGGATACTAGGTGACTATTACACTTACCCAGGTGAGAAAGAAGACCTTTCATAGTCACTTGAAATTTTTTGATAAAGGGAGTATTGTAAGGATTCGATAACTTGACCTCAAGGTGCTTCAAATACTTGCCAAATTTCTTGGTGTACCACAATGCACTTTGAAACTCCAATGTGCGTGCCCTTGATGGCTGGCCATAGAATGTGATGGTTCTGCATCTCCAGAGAGATCCAGAGTACATAGCACAACTCCATTTTTTACAGACCAAGGCAGCCCGAGACCTGTCCCTGTCATCTAACCAATGGAAGACATGCCTCAGACAGACATCAGGTAGATGGGCCCAGGAGCTTTGCTCAGGTTCATTGTCATCTTCCATTGAGAGGACTGTTTCTTACTTCTCTTCTGAATGTTGAGTCAAACCTAGATGCAGAAAGCTGTGGGTAGATTTCTTGCCAATCCCAACATAATAGGCTTCTAAGCAAATGGATGAAAGCTTGCTTCTTCACAATCAAAACCAACAATCTTTCCCTTGCCTCTGTACTTTAGCTGTCAGGGTCAAACAAGCTCTTGGGTCTAAACTATAGTCTAACCTAAATCAAAAGAAAAGAAACAATGAATGAAGAACAATCACAGTACAAGCACAGGACACATCTTTTAACTTTTTTGCCTTCAGTCTAGTTAAAGAGTGAAATGGTATCAACTGCTGGTAGAGCAGCCACAGCCTCTAAGAAACCTTTGGTTAGCATCAGCTGTAATTAATTGATCATGGTTTGTGGACTGTGCCTAATGTCTAAAAGTACCCAGTTCTTTGGGCTGTATACATTTGAACAGGACTGTCAGTGCAAAATTAGCACAAATGACTTTTCATAGCCTTCTGGGGTACAATTCCATGACAATTAGTACCCTGCCTTAGATTAAGGTACAATTCCTGTTGAGTATAATAAGCGATATTAAGCTGTTCCATCACTTGGTTCAAGCAGGATGTTCAGTCCTTGTGGTCTAGTGGACCGGGAGTAGGCTGGCAAGTCAGAAGACCAACTAAGTCTTTGTAAGTCCACCTAAGGAAACAACCATGATGCAAGAAGTTACCAGTTCCACTCTCAAAGCTGGACTGTGCAAGTGTTCATCTTCATGCACACTTTTCCAGCTCACACAGTCTCCCTCTAAAGATTTGTTTTCTTGGCCTCTGAGCCCTCCCTATGTGAAGCTCAGCCATTGCCATGGAAAAAAGAGATGACATTCATGATGTCACAACAATTGACTATATGTAAAGGCAAACAGAGAAATACAGGCCATGATTTGCCAGTCAGGTGCAGGCTGTATGTCTTGTCGTGTCACTTTTCACCAACCAGGTGAGTGGATTGAGGGTCTGAGCAATAAACATTTAAGAAGGGAAGTTATGCATTCTCTATGCTTTCAGCTATGAAACACAAACAGCATCCCACTGGCCTGTTAGGTTCTTGTTTTTGTGAGGCCTTTTACATATCAGGGTATTAACTGACTGCAAATAGACAAAGAGCATGCAAAGCTAGCGTTCTGCTAGTACCTTTGCAGAGACGCTAAAATTCAGGATGTATTTACTTCCCATCTCTATAATGCACGTGTCTTAACCCTGTCCACTTGGTAAATCTTTCCTTAGCTTTTGGGGATGAAACTGGAAAAACATCTAGTGACACTTTCTCATGATCTACTCCAAAAATCAAGGCTTATTGGCTGACAAGACTACAAGAAGATGCAACTCAAAAGTATGTGATGCCAATCTCCAAACAATCTACTTTTCCTCCTTTGCACATGCTGTCCTGCTGGGTAACAAAGTTGAAATGGATGAAAACAACGAAGGCACCATAAGCGGATGAAGAAAATACGCAGATCCCTGAGGTTCAGATCTTTCTATTTTAATTTTATAAATAGGCATGAAAGCACACGCTGACTGCCCAGTTCAGCTTCAGCCCTTTTCCTTCCCTTTCGGCCTACAGTTATGTCACACAGTATCCCTCTGCCTGTACATATGCTCTGTCCAATTAGCAAAATTCTTAGGGATTCCTCTGCCCACCCTTGCCATCCAAAGTGCCAATTCAAACCCCCAGTAATCAAGATAGCCTTTAGAAACTGAGCACAAGTGTCCAATTACCACCTGACTCTATCTCTTGTATTTAGTACCAACTCCCCACTAAGAGCTCTTTGTTTTGCAGGTCTTTAGATGAATGTCCAAAGATCCAAGCCAAGTCTTAACATGTCATAGCTCAAGCTGCGGTTTGCAATGGAGAAGAATCTGAAGCTTCCACTATGGAGATTGGGGTGGGGAGAACACAGCAGGCAAGGTCTAACGCATCTTCAGGTACCTGGAAGCCCTAAAGCCAATGGACAAAGGAAAGCAGAACAGCATATAGGGCTGCAATACATAGAAACATGTCTATTAATGAGGGATATTTATTACACTAGTCACCCATATTATAGTGTGTGAATAGAAAGGGGTACAAACACCATCACATGGAACTTTTTCTAAACCAGAGCTCTTAGGAATTAGTGAAAAGTATGTTTATAAGCCAGTGGTGGGATTTCAGAGGTATCCTGCAGTGTTACTGTGTTGGCTTCCCCATGGCTCTAAGCCAAGTCTTAGCTATGGAGGTGTCTTCACCTGTCAGCTCCAAGTTTAATTTGATGGGGAAAAACCAATCATTTGGAAAAAAAGAGAAGCTGATACAGCTTTTTGGGAGCAATTTTTTCAGGTAGAAGTGATCTAAAGATAAATAAATACTTTGTACGTTTTGCTTTTCTCTAGGGTAAGAAAAAACCCAAACCAAACCAAAAACTTCACCGCTGAGCAACCACATTCTCTGTACTTGGCCCTCTTTGCTGCAGATGGTTTCCAGTCCGACGTGGACAGTTAGACGAGCTGTCTCCTCCAACAAGAGTTGTAGAAGCCCGCTGAGAAAAAGCAAACAAACAAAAAACTTCTAAGACTCTGACTGCCAATGAATTACCAGAAGTACCAGGAGCTGTCTCTCGAACACCCACCCGGCAGCCCGGCCCAGCCCGTCTCCTGGTCCCGCTCCTGCTGAGGGCACCTCGGGCTCGGGGGCGGGGTGGCGGCGCAGCCCCTGCGGTTGTGCCGGGGGAGACCCCGGGACGCGACCCGCCCGGGGCCGCCCCTCCGGCCCCCAGCCGCGGCTGGTGCGCGCGCCTCGAAACGGGTAACGGCCAATGGAGGCGGGCGGCGGCTGCGGCGGCGCCAATCGGAAGGGCCGGAGGGGCGGGGCGCCGTTCAAACGTGGCGGCGGCGCGCGAGGCGGGTCCTGAGGGGAGGTGGCGCGTCGGTCCCGATCCCGGTCCCGATCCCGATCCCGATCCCGATCCCGGTCTCCGTCCCCTCCACGCACTGAGTGAGTACAGGGCCGAGTGGCTGCAGGAGCGGCCCGCTCGCGGCCCACCAGCCGGTCTTCTCGGGCTTCGGCGGCGCCTTTCGCGCTTGCTGCGAGCGTCCCCGGCGCGCACAATAACGGCGCCGGCCGGGCCCTCCCCGGCCCGCCGTGCCCCGTTATCCCAGGGCGGCTGCTCTGCCGCGGCTGTCGGTGGGGAGCACGGGCAATGCCAGTAGAGCGGGGTTCCTGCGGCTCTGGCGGCGAGAGTGGCTCGGCTGGACCCCCGTGCGCCGGCCGTGCCCGGGGGCCCAGCCGGCGGCTGTCCCAGTCCGCCGTGGGCTCCGGACTAACCGAACCACCGCGCTGTCCTGTGCAGTGCCTGTCTCATAACAGATCAGTGTACCCTGGGACGGCAGCTGCTCCCTTCGGGGCGTTTCACCTCAGTTGTATTTGCCGGCATAAATTAATCAGCAGCAGCTGGCAGGCGGTCCAAAGGAGCCTGGATCAGCTGCGAGCTAGTCAGAATTGAGCGGTTGCCCGATTAGTAGCTCTTCCTGGTGCCACATGCAGGAATGAATTAAAGGTGTTAATATCCCAAACACCTTCAAGATTACAACGTTTCAATAAGCCTTATTGCTTTTTGACACGAATAAGGACGCTTGTGAGAGATGGAGATAACTCAGCAGACATAGTAGTGGTAAAACGATGGTAGAGACCTCCCAGCTTTTTTAACATGATCTGCAATGAAGTATTGATAAAATTAATTCACTCTCAATTCAGATTGCTAAAATACATCTGCATTTCACTTGCTTTTTAGAAGTAAATCATTAGTGGTATCCTACCTCAATAGTAAGTGAAAATGAGGAAGTTAAAATATGTATGTATGTTTCAATTGTTATATGTCATATAGATAGCTAGCATTTTAGCCCTTCCCACTGAAGTCTTCTGCCAGTAAAAATCCTGTTTATTTCAGGACTTATGCATCCACAGTCATAACTGTGAATAAAGCGTGAACCTTCAGCCAGCAAGTCAGGCAGGAGCCAAGAGCAGCTGTGTAAACTTGTCTGGCAGTGGAAGGTTGTTTTGATTAAAGAAAGCAAAAATTTGGGATACCAGATCTTAGTCTGAAACACAAACAAAAAAGTTGCTCTTACAGAGCACTCTACCTCACAAACTTGAGTCTTGCACTGGAAATGCAGTATAAGGCTTCTTCATGGACTTGTACAAATTTAAATACCTGTAGAAATCAATGCTACAGAATCGATAGTAAAAGCCCTAGTAAAAGTCTGCCCAGCTCTGGTTTTCTTGTTTCAGGCAAGTGTAATCAAGTATATTGTATGTAACAGTTTCCATTTCTGTTTTTACACTGCTTTGTACCTTGCTCTGTCTAAGCCTTGCTTTCATTTTAATTCTTTTAGAAATAAGGTTGACCAGGAACTGGAACAAGATGGCATCTGTGCTCCACAATGTCAAAGCAACAATGGCCTGGCAGAAACACCAGCTCCTAGCTGACTTTGATGAAAATGAGAGCCCTGTGCCTGACAAATTCAAGAGAAAGGCTGCTCTGAGTTCTCTCAATACCATCTGCATGTCTCTAAGGAAACGAGCACCATTAAAGCGAGTAGAGCTGAATTTTCATAACACCCCAACTAGGGAAAGTCTGGAAGCAGGACAGAGGTGCCAAACTCTTCAGATTATTAAAAGAACAGCAAAAAATGCTTTTGGAACAGTGTCCCAGGTACTTTCCCTTTGCAGTGGAACGTGGATAGAGTTTAGTTTTTGCTCCAACTTCAGTACTAAGATTTCTGAACTCTGTACATGTATTCCAGAGTCCATTCTCACACACTTGCACACCTTAATGGTTACCTCATAGCTATTAACTTGTAAAATCTTTAATATCTTTTCCTAAAGTATAGACAGTCAAATTATGGATCTGGCAGAATATGGAGGAGGGTGAAAACATTATTTTAGCATGAAATAAATGCTTTTCCTCTACTCTATTTCATCATGTATAACAGAGCAGCCTTCACAAGGAGGAAATTGGCTAGAGGTTGCCATTGCTTGCAAAGAATTGTTTCTGAGAAATGTGTAGCACTTTGGATTTTTTTTCTTATTTATTTTCCCATACCCATACTAATTATTATAGTTCTTCATTATAGTCAGTATAAATTCAGATTGACAAAACCTGTTGGAGACCTGAGATTTTTAAATGCATGAGTTATATGTTAGGGAGCCTGGCTTGTTCCAGCATAAGAGCAGCAGGAGTTCTGTTCCGATGCCTGCTCTGAAGTCCTTGACAAGTGCTAAGGATTAGGGAAGCAAATGACTCCTCCAATGAAATGGGTACAGAGGGTTGAGAAAACCTGATATGGGAATGGAAGTTAGGAATTCAGCTTAAATGTTCCTTGTCTTTCTGGTTCTAAACTCTAGGCTAATTGAGTTCTTTTAGCCTAATGTATCTAATGCTTCTTTCAGAAAATACAGAAGTCTTGCCAAAGCCCAGTACACTCAACGGTGACCTTTCCAGCTGAATCCATCAGCAGAAGCTGTGCGACAAGTTCTACCAAGAAAAAAAGTACTACACCTCAAACCCCTTGCTATAAGACTGTTACTCCAGCAGCCAGTTCCAAAGGCATCCCAAGGTCCAGCAAAAGGGCCTTGCTTGGGCCAACGAGGATGTCAGAACATGGAGAACGGAGGGATTTCTCATCCTGGCTTGGTAAAAATGCTGTCTCTCTCCGGAGATCAAGAAGAGCAGCAGCACTGAAGAGCCCTTATTCATCACCTGCTCCTGCCAGAAAGATGTAAGTCATATTCTTTTGTAAACCTTGTTCCTTTTTTTTTTTTCTTTTTTTTTTAAATGACTGTGATTAGGGTATGTGGTAGGGTAAAAGGCAAGGTATGAAGTTTGCTATCCTATTCCCCTGAAAGGGTGGGCTGTTTGAATAGTTACAAGGTAGTTCTAGGTCCCTGTATAGACAGAGACTGAGAACTGCATAAAGCTGAAACGTAAAAAGTAATTTTGTCCCGTGACAGGAACTTTTTAAAAATCCCTCTCCCACTGGGTAAGTTTGCACCGTGTTTCTCAGCACAAGTGCCCCTAAGATGCTACAGACATACCCGAATTCTTTGCTGATTCTTTACCCAAGTAAAGACAAATGCTCTCTATGCATCTTACTCCTACTTAGTTCTAACTTTTCCAAAGTTGCTATTTGTATTGCAAAGATACCAGGAATAGCTCTGCTTATACTGAATTCTTTATAGAGAGATTCCTGCCTCAGAGATTTAACACAAATTAAATCAAGGGTTGTGAGCTTGGGAAATACTTCATAATGCACGCATAGGTTTTTCTTTTGGTCAGTCACAAGAAAGGTCAAAGCTAGAAGCTGAATTTGAATCCTGTGTCTGAACTGGAAGATAGCTGTCTGGGGAATGTGAAGCAGTTGGCCAGTGAAAGTACGAGCATGATTGTCACAGCTTTAAGCTCCTCTAGGTAAAGTCTGGAGGTAACAAGAGTGGTACTGCAGGGATAGAGGCTTGAGTAGTGTCACCTAGTCAGTCTGTCCTGTCTGATCTTTAGTAATTATGATTCTGTTTGCAGGGAATGTGACTGCGAGTTGGAACTGGTCTCCTCAGGGATTTGCCAACTGAAGCGTATCTCCCAGGCATTTGATGATGCTATTGTGAAAGAGGAGAGGTAAATACTGTTAACTGTCCCTCAACTTTTGGCACAGGTTACCTTCTACTTGGACATTGGCAATTGCAGGTTAGGTCGTCCCTGTAACTCAGGATAAGGAATAGTCGCAGAACTTTCTCAGGTGTAATGTAGTAGATAATTTCTTTCTTCAAGATACCTGAGCAGATTAAATCTGCAGTTGGATTTTGATATGGTTTGAAGCTGGCTCCCTGCCAAGTCTCCAAACCCTACCACAGGAAGTCCCCCCCCCCCAAACCTCAGGGAGAAGAGGGAGAAAAACAACCAAGAAAAACCGAAACGAGAGAGAGACAGCTAAAGCAATATATGTAAATATATTTACACTTATGTTACAATTATATACAATTGAAATATATATACAATTTCACAAGGGAAAGGGAAGGGGGAAGGGAAAAGGAACAAAACCAGAATAGAATATATATATATATCCCGATTAGTAGCCCAATATCTAGCAACTAAAAAAAGGTTAGCAAAGAAATATCTCACTACTCTCCTGGGACAACCGAGAGTCGCTCCGGAATGATCGCCGGCAACCTCCGTCTCCTGAGGTCGGCAAGGCCTTACCAGGCCTCGCTCCCCAACACGGCAGACTCAACAGCAGGGAACCTGCACCTCCAAGCCGCCAGAAGGAAAGAGAGCGAAGGTCTCTCCTCCTTTCTTATAGCCCGGCTTACGTAAAAATCGTAGGGAATACTGGGTAAATCTGGGCCCTTCTTTGGTTACAAACTGGTCACCAAGGAAGGCCCAGACCAAACTACCACAATTTGCAGCTTCAAAAACCTGTCAGATGCTCTCCTTGTCTTCAGGTATCTTGCTGTGGAAATCAGATTTTTCACAGCAAGAGTCTACCTTTGACCTTGTGTGAGAGCAGTACCTCCCTGCCTCTGTCTAAAAGAGTGCCAATGCAAACTGGGGGGGGAGGTGGGGAAATTCCAGTGCACGGACATAATTATTGATGTCTGCACATTTATAACAAAAAATCCTTTTATTAGGTAGAATTATGTAACAAACAATCCATAGTACCCAGATGCAGAAACCTGTTATAAAACACCTTGGTTAATCCATGAGGTGGTAGGCTGCTGTATTTGTGAAGGTTACATCATTCTGAATTAGACATTAAGAGAGTAAAAACTAAAGGTCAGAAGTCTTGTCATAGGGCGATTCCCTAAACCTCTTTTTCTCTTAGAACACTTGATGTCAAGCACCTCAAAGTCTCTAGAGAGGGCTTAGCATCAAGTACATTTATCAACAAAGAGGTTAGGACTTAAAATCCTACATAATTCCAAAAATTCAATTTTTCCCAATGGGACCATGTCTAGATAACTATAGGTTAAATCTTGTATCAAGTTAATTTTATCATATCCGTTGAAAGTTCACTAAATCTCATTCCTAATATTCTTCCATCTGTTAGCGATATGACAGTTTCTCTCATTCGTAACTGAAGATAGTAGCAACCAGGTAAAGTAGTTGTTCACTTACCCTGTCTATACCTGCATGCATCTGTGGGGAGAAAATCTGCTGTTTAGAGAGAAAAAGGCTTATAGACTCATGCTGCTTTAAAGCAGTGTTCTGTGGAACCACAGGGTTCTTCCCTGGTATTCACTGTGGCTGTCTCTGCTACAGCTGATCATTGTGCATTTGTAAAATTTCACCTCTAAATTGTGGATTCATGAATCCTTGTGGGTTTCCAATGAACCATAAGTTGGGCTTTTATGCAAACAACAGCTTTTCTCATCCCAGACCAGAAAACTACTGGTACTAATGTTTTTGTCACTCTAGCTCAGTTCTCACCGATTACTAATGAAGGTCAGAAAGCATGACAGAACAAACTATTATCCTGAGCTGTCTGAATTTACAGCCTTTCTTTTCCATCCCTCCGATCAGTAGCAGTTAAGACTGTGCTATCATAATAACAGCAGTTGCTAATTATCAGTGGCAGTTTTAAACACAGCAATCCCACCCAAATGGATGGGAACAGGAGGTATTTGTTGTCAGTTTTTAAACATCATTTCTAGTGTCAATTCACTGGACCCTTACCAGGTAAATGCCTCTATTAACTTCACTGAGATATGTATTGTGACATTAGTTTCTTCATCCATTATGTTGGAAGTCTTCCTTTTGTTAAAGTTACATCCTTAAATAGGATGTCCTACTTTAGCAACAAAGATAGGTGTAAGACACTGTTTGCTGTAACTTTTCAAGAAAATATGAAAGCAGTTTCAAATGCTTTGAACAGGGCTGTGTTCTGCTGCCAGTAAGTAATTTTGTCCAGTTCTCTTGCATGGGTAGATGCATCCAATGTGCTCTCTCACTGACTGGTTTGTAGGCTGCCTACTGTATCAACTGTGAAATGAACTCTTTTGGAGTTGCCCTTAGTCTTGCATGAGATTTTCTGTTCTGGTATCCAGTTGCCTTGGGTTTGTGCTAGAGCTCCCTTTTCAGCTTTTCCAGGAGGAAACAAACCTTGATCTCAAATGATAGTTGCCAGTTCCATGTATTTTTCTAATGTTTTTCATTTTAATGAATTAGGTTATATCACAAGAAATGTTCCTGTTGCTAGTTAAAGTATTGCAGTACTTAATTTGTGTATTGCCATTTACGCTCACTGAAGGGAACAAAATATTTTCTTGCTGCTGTTTAGAGCTGTTACACAGTGGCAAGCGTACAGATACCAGACCTCTTCCTTGCTCCCATCTGCTTTCCAGCAATTTGGGTGACCACCAGTTGATTAACCCTACTGACTTGATGCTGCTAATGGCAGTCTTGTTGTTGTTCTTCTGCAGGCAACAAGCAACATCAAACTATTACTATCTAATGGCAGAAAACTTACATTCTGCGTGTCGATCCCTGAAACCTTCTCAAGCTATCAGAAGGCAAGCAAAGAAACTCCATCAAGCACTTGGTACCTAGACAGAGACTGTAACTATTATTAGTTTATAAGCATATATAAATGAGAGGTCTGTGTAGCACCAAAAGGGTGCACTCTATACACTAAACAAATCACTACATTTTATAATCTTTCTTGACAAAGCAGCTCAGGACTTCCCTTGCTTTCTCTTTTCAACTGTAGTTGGTACCTGTGGTACCAACCACTTTGATGTTGAACTGACCAGTAGGAATGGCCAAAGCAAGGGCTACAGACTTATGAAGGGTAATCCTAGGTAAGAGGAGTGTTTAGACTGGTATCCAATTGCCATGAGTTTTAGTACAAGTATTTTACATACAGAAGAGTTTGCTCTGTTATTTCGAAAGCCTAACATTTTTTTATATATATAAACAAACTAAGCGTTAAGCATGTTTAGCTGGAAGTTAATAAAACAATAGTGGCTTCTTTAAGTTTTGACCACAACCACCATTCCAAGGCAATAGGTTTCTGTGGAGTCACTCACACCACAAGAGAAAAGCCACATTAGGACTCTTAATTCATGGCCTTAAGGATTGCTATTAGATTAGTCTAACTAATCCTATCTTAGGTAGTTTGGTCCCAGGCAAATCAGAGCAATTTTGTAATTTCCTACTGCTGCTTTAAATAGCATCTTGGCAGTTGAGTTAAACATTGCTTCTGTACTACAACATCTGTCTTTTAGTTATATGCAGAAATTGTTACTACAATTAATGTAACTTCTTACAGCTACTGTTATTAGCCAGTATCTCGGTGCAGGTATTTTATTTGATGATGCATACTTAGCATTTGATATATTTTTTTTGCTTCTAGTTACTTAAAAAAAAAAAAGTAACGTTCCTTTGAAAAGCCTTTTTTGGTTGGTCATTCAGTGTAACAAAGTTTAGTCTTTCAAACCAAAGCAAAGATTTCTCAAGCTTCTGGAATTCAACAGCAGGGCTGTTTTAGGTGGTAGCAGCTTTGTGCAGGCTTCTCCAGTTACATTCACTCTAAGATGAACCTTCAAACAAAAGACTGATTTGGAAAATTTTGCTCTACTTGATAATGTTTAAGATGTGCATGTAATTCAGTTCCAGTTTCACTAAAATTTTAATGGTATCAAATATAAATATGGCAAGTATTCAATCCTGATTTCCTGATGTAGTATTTGTGTATGTTTTGTGTGCTGGTTTTAGGTTTTTTTAACCACCTTTCTATAGGGAACATATATTCTTTGGATGTTCTGAAACTACTTCTTCTATAAAGCATTCACAAAGATGGTGACTCATTACCAAGATATCTCCTTCTATGACTTCTGAAAAGGAGGGAGGGTTGGAGTTTTGTGAAAAAGTCAACCTCCAATTTAAGTATTATTTCAAACACATGTATCAGGAAGCCTCTATACTGTTTCCAACAGCTACTAGGACATGTACAATGATGATCTAATACTTCCCAATTCACTGGTAAGAAAAATCAGTGACACTGTTTGCTTAAAGGCAAGGAAGGTTTTATTTAAGTGAGTAATCTGTTATAAGATTTTAAAAACCAGCTCACATCAAAATCTATAGCAGTTGTAGAAATCTTACTCCTTATTTCATATTAAGAAATTCATTATTGTACATTTTCTGATCTTTACAAGGCAGCCATAAGAAATATAAACATTTGTCACCAGACAGAACCTTCTCACTGACAAACAATATTTAAAGTATGCACTTAATAAAACTACAGACTGAAAGAACACCTACAATTTCAAGTTTCCTTGTATGAATTCAGTTGTAAATGGACTGCCCCTTTTCTGCCCCACAAATAGAAAAATAACTTATGCAGAAGGCTTGGGGTTCTGTGAGAGGACTGCCATTCTGGGCTGTACACCAGTCATCCAGAAATAACCTTACCTTTCAAACTTTCTATCTGTAAATCATGTTTCAGTGTTGCAATCTCTAGTATACCATCCCCTAGCACGTCACAGTAAACCTTTCTCTCTTTCTTTCCCCTCATAAATTCTGTACATCCTTACAATGAACTGTCGGATTTGTTTCATATTCCCCAAATCCCCCAAATTCAATCCAGTTTCAAAGGTAGCTTAATGAGATAAATACAAGTAGAGGGTAAACTGTAACAATCCCTGTAAGTTGGGCTTGAACTAAAATGAAACAAAGAGGAATTGCCAACATCTGACTTCAATTCCAGAATCCATGGCACAGGATTCTAGCTGCTCCAGGCCATTTCTTATGTCTGAAAAATAAAACTTTTCATCCAGAAAATGTGTTATTACTTCCATTTTTTATGAGTGGGTCTGAATTTAGGATCATCTGTAGGAACCTATATTTAACTTGAGTGACTAAACATCATGGTAGTCTTAATTACCTTGACAAACCCACAATTTCTGCTGAAGCTGTGAACAAGGACCACGAGGAATCATTGCTCTTAGAGAAGCTGAGGCCAGAGACTAGAAAGTTTTGTGTCTGTAGGAATTCTATCCTGTACCAGCTCCAGATGAGGATGGAAAGTACCACTTTCTCCCCTGCAAGCCTGACATGAACAAATCAATGCAGAGATCTGATGTTCAGATTCCCCATGTCAATCTCTAATCAGAAAAACAATGAAATGAGCGTGCACAATCTCTTCTTCTCTCCATTTTTAAGCCAATGAGCTTATCAAAAAGGTGCCCATGCTCCAGTTATCTAGTACTATTATGATGTGCTCACCTTTTTATGGCTTAGATGACAAGAGGGGAAAAAACCCTAGGGGAAATCCTATTTGTTCAGTAACAAATGTTGCACGTAAAAATTTAAAAACCTAAAAATACCTAGGTTTCAGGTATTATTAAAAAACACTCATAAAGAAAGTTTTTACAAATTAAAAACAGAAAACAATATAGAAAACAGGAAAAAATTCTTTTTTTCCCTTTCCAAATTTATTCCATGAAGTACGTGATGATACTATGGAGCTAAATATTGGGGATTTGCTTAAATACACATATTAGAAGTGTCCTGGATAAAGAAAGACTGCAATGTATAAACAGAACAACTGTTTGCCAACAAACTGGCAAACAAAGGCAATTTTGCAGAATGGTGGGTCTTCTGGATAAAGTGTCATTGTCCTGTGTAGACTAAGGTACGTGATCTTTTTCCTCTAGTTTACTGATAGTTCCACTTCTGCATAGCCAGTGAAAGTTTTAGCTGTTTAGAAGTGACTTCCCTAGGTATTAGAGGAACAGGTGAAGTAATCTGTAAAAATTAAGACTAGTTTAATGTAAACAAATCAAAATGACAGCTCTCATGAACCCCAGTGAACAAGAGTTATCAACAGTGTCCTTTTTACAGCTAACAAAATTTTATGCTGAATAGATATAAACCATGCCACAAAACTAAACAAGAATACTCTGATCAAGCAAGAATCTATTCCAAGAGCACTAGTGTATCCAAACAAACAAACAAGTTATTAAAAATAAGCAGATTTGGACCAACATCACTATTTGGGTCTGTGGAATAGTCTGCATTCTATACAATGGTATCTTTTTCCAAACTTACCTAACTATACAACAAAACTGAATAAACAGCCATTGTTGGTGTTGTTTTGTTGGTTTTTGGTTTTGTTTGTTTGGGTTTTTTTAAGTATATCGGTTACAAATTTGTTGTGAAAGCAGAACCAAAACTTTAGTGTCTTCCAGTAGCTACACACACATACACACAGACAAAACCAAAACACCACAGTTGTGAAGGTGTGTTTTTACAATATCTCAGATAACTCTACCACTGCTATTAATCACAGCCATTTTTTACAGTAATTTAAAATGGATCCATATCAACAAGACAACGAAGTAAATGCTTCCAATGGTGGCTTACTTTGCACTGACTTGTACTGCAGCCTTAGCACCCACTGGACTAACAGTTTTATGTTGTACAATTTCATTTATGCTTCCTCCATTCAGCAGGTTAAAAGAATGTGCTTTTCTGTTACAGACTGGAGGCACTAAAGGTGCTGAAACAACTGATGAGTCTTGTATGTTCCCTGGGCACCCACCTTAGCCTCTGTCCCATTCCCTTCTGTGTGTGCTTTAACACTTTCATAGCCTACATAGTTTAAGTGCTGACCGCACAGACACTGCAGCAATGAGGACTTGCAATCAGAGAATAGGATGGCTGTAGGCTCAAACTTATCCTCAGCAAATAGCCTGCTTAGGAGGACTGATCTTCCATGAAAACACAGGTAAAACTGAAATCCAATTGCAAGCTGAATGCCCACGAACCACTGCATGCAGTTTCATGTGGACAAAATGTGTAACTAAAATTCTGACCACAAAGGAATGTTCTAAGAGAAAACGTAGAATAATTATACTATAAAACTAGAGATTCATTAGGCAAACCCAGGACTACCCCAAGTATAGCTGGGGGAAAAAAACTAAAAAATCCCATGAAAAACTAGTTGCTCAACATGCATGAGGTTTCCAGTTATTGCCACAGAACATCTGTTGAACTGCCAGCCTAGTTCTGAGATGCCTAAAATCACAATCACCTTGTTCATGCTCTCAGCTCCAACAGAAGCTGTTTTACCATTTTAGTGGCAACTGGTTGGTGCTTTCAAAACCAATGCACCTGGCATTTGATGTTTCAGAAGATCAGTTCCTAATTAGCTGGAAGCCTTAACCTCCAAGCTAATGCCTGTATCACTGTTTTGCCAAAGTGCTCAGCTGGAGCATGTGATCAGGAGATAAAGCAACTCTATCAATGAGCAATAAGCAGTGCTGGAATTATGCAAATGCCACTGTCATGGTTCACTTAAGTTCTCATATATTGTATGGAAACAAAGTTAGGGAAAATATTTTCAGCTTGATTTCAATACCACATGTAGAAACTTTGAAACTGTTACCACTCTAAATCACATGCACACACATGTATTCGTTTTACTGCTATACACTTGTAATATTCTCAAGGGAAGCCAGCACACTGACTACTATAAAGATGACAAGGTGACCCAGCCATTAATGAAAATACACAAAATTAGAATTTAGATGACATGGTACTCTGCAAAATGACATTATGTCTCCAAGAGTAAAAGACAGCCTTTTCTAGAGAAACCTAGGAGATTTCTCTAACCTTGTGCTCAGACACTTATTTTCTTCAGTACAGTCACAGTCACAGAATTACACCCAGATCTCTCTTCTGAAAAGAAGTCAACCTTTCTACTACAACAATTTAAAACAAAAAACAAATTTTGGAGTCTCTTGGATGATAGAGGTAGATGGCTAAAGCAACAGTAGCTTTGAACTTAGCAGCCGGAACAGTGATTGCTATCAGAAGACTTGTTACGAAACATTCAGTGCTTAGAATGAACTTTGTGATCAGTCAATGTTGCTTTTAGGTCCCCTCAGCAAACTTGCAATTTGCCTAGTGAGTTCCTCACTCACAAGCCTTGTACTCCCATGCCTATTTAAATCTAAGAAGCAGGAGCCTGCTAACAGTGAAGTCACTGGAGGGAAATGGAGTCTGGTGTACCCGTGCAATGTCCTCCTAGAGCAGAGCACACAAAAAGAAATGGACTCTGTGATTAGAACTAATACACACAGTGGGCCAAGATAGAGCACAGAATAATTCCTCCAATTTTGTGGGTTAAGGAACTGTGATACTACTGGTAAAGCATTTGTAAACCTGAAGACTGCTTTCAATGTAGTTTGCGAATTATCTTTCCTTTAGCTTTTGTAGCTGCCTGACTTGGTAACAGCATAAAAACCCAGCCCCCTGTATTTACCTGCTCCCAGTAAGTGTGAACTTCCAAACTTTTTACATCTTTCCTAAATCTTTTTAATGTGTTCCCTTAAAGGATGCATTACACTAAAAAGAAATTACTGATGTGCCAGAGATATTTCAGGAAGTTTGAAATAGATAACTGACAATCTTGCCAAGTTATGTCTGAAAATATCTGATCTCCCTTTATAAGATATTTTGTTGCCTTTTAAGTCAAAAGCTGCATTCCTATGCCCTTCCAAAAGCACACTGAAACTTTAGGGTTAACAGGGAGTAGAGACTTAGGTTTACTGCTGCAGTGTCTTGACAGTTTTCCATCGCATTTCTTACTTGTTTTACCGTCAACTATCAAAATCATTAACCAACTTGTTGAGAGACTGTTTCTCGTATACAAAAACCTGAAAGGGGAGTGGGGAGGCACAACACCCTCTCCACCCCAATTCCCTGAAATTAAAAACTAACAAACCAACCTGAAAAAGAAATGTCCTATTGACTTCGAGCTTTCTCGGTGTCAATAGTCTTGTTGTAACTTTTTAAAAAAGGGGGTTTTATGTGCATTTGTAACTTCATTGCAGGTTTTAAAACATGAATCAGTTCAGTCATGAAAGTTCTCTTGATGAATTTCTCTCAGTGGAAGTATCTGCATGAAGAATCTGCAAACTGCTACTATGTTAAACTAACTACAACACTTCAGAAATATTACTACTTATACTACTTAAGGAAAATGTCACATATTTTACTTCTAGTAAGACCAGTGGGAGATCAGATAGAAATTTAAATCTGTAGAAAAATGTCTATTTGGCACCTGTAATTTGGCGTGTCCATTCTTTGAAGCTCAAATGCTGTAATTCTGAATGCTACAGATTGTCTTAACACAGCAGTTGCTATAAAGCATGAGAAGGTAAACAATTCACCGATATACCTCATTACTTTTCTTTTCCTCCAGTGTAAAGATTCCCCTGGAGTTTGCAGATCCCTTAGTAAAAGGGTTGCTTTTAGCTTACCCTCTTAAGATCTGACTCTCGGACTGAGATGGGCAAAGCCATCTCCTTACTGAAGTAGTCCACACATTTCTGCACAGTCACCAAATTCCACAAAACAGTGTGATCTTCGTACAGTTGCACATTATTTGTTTATAGCAACACTAACTGCTTCAAACTGTGGCAGACACATTTATTTTTAACATGAAGTTTTTATAATTTGGTTCATAAGTGAAGTTCTTATTTATTTGTCCAGCACCTCACACAAACATGAGTGCTGATGTTGGAGTCTGTTTACCATCACTGCAAGCTGAAAGGAAATCTTGGGCTTAAAGCACCCAAAAAGCATATTGTTATACAAACTGACCACCTGTTATTGTAGTTCTCATCTCTGCTTCCCTTGCAAGTGTGCCACTTTACTGAAAAGTGGAAACAGACAGGACTATTTAAAGTGTAAACCTTCTCTGTAACCTATGCAACCTACCATTTTATACTGGTTTGGATGCAGCTAGTTAGCTCATACTACAACCCTTCTTCTGAGTAAAATCAGCCTGCTTTAGCTCTTTCTCTTATTGCACATATTGTAAAAAATAATCAAAGATATTTCCTTTTGCTTTGATGTTGTAACCACTTGCAATAGTTTTAGGTTGTTTTAAAATCTCCCAATAAACATGACAAGAGGAGCAAACTGCAAGTTCCCCACTTGGTATAAGAAGGCAGATTTCAGAACAGGGAAGACTCTGAGGTACAGGTTCCCGTCTACATCTCTTAGTTTGGAGCTGCCTAAATATTATCTTTGAGGCATGCCTACAAGTTTAATGGGGTGCACCCAAGATCTACATTCCCAATCTTCCTAGGGAACAGATTCAAATTTGTGAACACCTCGAACCCAAGCAATGGAGGGCAAATGCCTGTCGTGATCTTTGTCTGATTCAGGTTGGCTCTGGGCACGCTCTGGCTTGGGGTTCAAGGAAGGTGGGTCAGGCTGCTGCACAGACATAGTCCTGCGGAGGTGGTTCCTCTTGCGCAGAAACTCAGGTTGGGAGTGGAGGCCAAAGCTACCTTTTCTCAAGATCATCCGAGAGTTGTTCTTTTTGGGTCGTGAATGGAGACTGAACTCCAGCGAGGCCAAGTGGGCTGCATAACCTTCACTGAGGAACTGAAATAGGAAGAAAAGAAAGAGAGTGACAAATTACTGCTGCCTTAACCTATGAGCTCTATGAGGAATTAAGTTTTGATCCTTGGCACCCCAGTTAGACACCTACAGAGTGCTAATACTCCTCTCAGTTTTTTTTCAGTGACCTGTTCCATTTTGTCATTCAGCAATACGCAACGCATGCACTTGTAGATACAACCTGTGACTGCTCAATTCTCTTTACCATTCACCTTGCCAGAAAATGCCTCATTTGTACCCAAAACTGTCCTTCTTTGAAACACTGTCGCTGCTCTGAGGAGTGTGTGTTTGCACATGCATTCATGCATTTCCTTGTCTTCCACAGGACTTCCTGATTGAGTAGCAAGAGTTACTTACTTGACACTGTGCCTGGTATTTCTTTGTGGGTCGTCCAACTATGTAGATCTGGGATGGTGACAGAGCCAAGACACTGTACACAGAAATATCCTTCATGGAACCATATGCGGCACAGATTTTGATGTGGCACTGAAACAAATATTACTTCCAAAGTGAACGCTCTCTTGAACACCCTGCAACTACGAGGCTGGCACTTGATTTGCAATGAAGCAGCACATGAGTTCATTGTTACAATCTCATTCTGTAAACTGCAGATACCTAAATCTGCCTGCTTGCATGCCAGCAAGAACTACAGCTATGCACACAGGAAAAACCAAGCAGTTCATTTATTTATTTATCATGATAGGAAGTCCCTTTGATGTTTTATCAGCCTTCCTTGCTCTTTAAAAAGTGAAAAAAGAAATGAGGAATGGCAAAAAGACTTTGTGATGACCAGTGAGATTCACTGTTCAGGAAGAAGGGAGATCTCTTACTTTACTGAATGACATTCACTGGAAAGAGGTTCTAAGGCTATTAATAGGTTTCTAGTACCTCTTGCATGAGATTCCGGAGAAAAATGGTCTTTTGTCGCAGTGGGTCGTGAACCAGTCCATCTGAGAAGAAGATCATCCCTTGTGGGAAGTTGTGTTGAGACAACCATGAAACCACACGCTGTTTTTGCATATCTGGACGGCCAGTGATATAGATAATCAGATATCCCAGGTCCTGCCAATGCCTGTCAGAAATAGCAGGCAAATTATGTAGGTGCAGGAAGAGAAACAATACTCACAGGTCAGATCAGCATCTTTTCTTAGCCCAGTTAGAAGTTGGATGTTATCCTTCAACAAGTGAAGAGCAGCATGCGTAAGTTTCTGCTCCTATCAAGCAATTAAGTAATACTGTCTACACCTTGAGGGAGACAGAGGAAAGCAAGAGAGACTCTTATACAAAATATTATCTAAAATATGAGAGCTATTTAAAAATGTAATTAGACCTTGCTACACATCAAGCCCTGCTACCTTTGAAACCTTTAATGAGATTTTCTGCCATTTCAGCTCTAAGGAAGGGAAACCTTTGAAAACTGACATCTTTACACTCCCACGCAGGTTCCAAAATGAGAACTGCATTTCCCCATCCAGTGCGACATAACTGACTTGCAAGAATGGGTTAAAAGGCTTTTAGTTTGCCTCCAAAAAACATTCCTGCATTCGCGGCACCTGATACTTCCGAAGTACAAGTATGCCCTTATGTGAAGTTAATGAAACACAAAATACCCATGGAATCATTATTAATTCACTGCACACACTTCAAGGCCATATTCCCGAGAAGCAACTTTTAACCTTTAGGCAATTTAAACAACGAATTTCAAAGTAATCCACAGCATTCTAGGATTCCTCTGAAAATCAGGCAGACCTGCTGTCCAAGCCAATATAGAAATGTATCTGCAAAGAATCTTGGCCCTTACGGAATTGCTGCTTATTTAGTAAAAAACCCTTTTCCTTCCTACTGTGTTCAGTAGCCAGAGAGTTAGCGTTCAAGCCTCACCTGACAACATCAACAGCCCCTGCTCGGACTTTGGGGTCACTTCCCATAATTGAAACACTTGCTGCAAATGAACCATCAATGCTGAACACAACACATTCCATTCCTCGGGGAAGTATCGTCAGGTAACTTGCAGCACTGCTCTGGTCCCCTCTGGAGAGTCAAAGCAATAAATTCATTTAAAGCGCAAAATATCAGAATGTATTTTCTACAAGTTCTAGTTAATATTTGAAATTAGTTCTGTCTGGACCTACAGCTTTAAAAGTCACTGTCAAATAGGGCTTCTGATTCCAGTCCTACATGTGGCAATTAAAACTTACACTTTTAGAAAACAGCTTTCCAAAGAGAAATTTGGAAGCTAATAATGTCAATAAGAAATCACATGTGTACAAATAGCTAAAAGAATTAGGGGGAAAAAACCCAAACCAGCCTGAAGTACTTTAACTACTACTCAAACTTTCTCCATAAGCTAAACAGTTGGTATTATAAGCATGAGCTATCCCTCTAGCATTGCAAATTACAATGGGAATGCCAGTCCAGAAAAGTTAAAAAAAAAGCCCACCCCAAAACAACACAGTCATAAAGGGCTCTTCGCATGGAAAGGAATGTGAAATGGAATCTTTTCCTCACGATGTCTTTTCCCCAAGAGGTCTGCATGTCAAAAAATGGATAAATCATAAGGCAATCCAAAGCTCTTCCCATCCCACCACCTCATGTTCCCTAAAAAAATGTAATTGGAAACCGCACTTTCTTTACTTTAGAAATATTACTGTATGATCTAGAAAGTTATATTTGCTGATGCAGATCCTTAAAATATGTGCTGATAGCTTAATGAGCAAAACCAGGACTGTTTCTTTTGTTCCTCTTTGAAACTTACACAGTCTAAAGCTTCACTTCTGAATACAACCTAATTTGTGTTCTAGTAACTCTCTTTTCTTGAATTTCTATTACATTGAGGTAAAACATTTTCTCCTGCTCAACTAGCACTACATAAGATTGTAAACTAATTTTGGACCTTTTTATCTGGTGGGTAACAACACATTCTGTTTCAGTTAAATTTGCCCCACTGATTTAATCTCCAAAGTAGGGATTCAAAGAAGTTTTTACTCAGTTTTTAAGTTCCTTCCTGATCACAGCTTTAGTTCCAGCTTGGAGCAATTACCTGACCACCATTTTGATGGGATACACACCAACTCTCAGTCTCTTCTGTTCAGGTATGTTGTATGATATCCGGCCACTGCTGTTGGATATCTCTGTGTCAAAGTACACCCACCTACCCGAAGATGGCTCAGTCATTATGAAGATATCCACCTGCAAAAAACAACAAACAATGATCTAGTGGGATAATCAGCAAAACACCCCTATCTGCAGGGCCTGTCAAGCCTAGATCATATTAGTATCTCCAACCATGGCCGATACTAAAAACTTACAAGAAGTTTTGCAGGAACTTCAAAACTCAGTAAAAACTTCACAGGGGGGGCCCCCTCAATTAGCAAATGCTTCCTAACATACAACACAAGGGCTTATTGCCTTCATAATTTAAAGCACTCAGCACTGCAGGTGTCAGACATAGGTATAGACCTCAGAAATCTGACAGAAGGCCTAAACTACGAAGAAAATAATTTCGGCTTGCATGCATATATTACATTTTTCAATACTAAACATACAAAATGGAAAATGTCATCTGCTTATTTGCAAAATGAAATCTTTCTCAAATCATAACCTTGCCTACAAATGCAAAACCAGAACACTTCAAATTATCAAAAGATTTCATCAATATGGGTTTCTTCAACTGAAACACATAAAGGATATTAAATACTTTGCTGGACCTGAAACAGGCCAAGTGAAGCCTCCATGCTTCAGTTTTACCCTCAGCTCAGCAGCATTGTTCCCTTAATGGGCACAGAAAATCTTACAATCTCAGTGAATATAAACCAATGTGTTCACTTGATGCTTGGCTCTATCAGCTGTAAGCCTGGCTTTTGCAGGCAGCTTTAGGAATGACAGTTTCAACTGTGTCATGTCATTACTAATCTCTAAAACTAATCTTTACTTGCCTTTGTATAAGAGAAGCCATAGCCACACAGCCCCCAGAATGCCTATTCCTTTATCCAGTTGTTTTACTTGGATAGGATGATACACAATTTTCCCTTAGTGGTTTGTCAAACCAAATTTCCTCCTTGCTCAGAGAGTTAATTGTCTCCAGTAGGTGGTACAGCTGGATGGCAGGTTCAGAAATCACTGCACAGCACACTCACCACTAACCAAAGGAGATAGCCAGCATCAGGTAAGAGAGGTGAAAGCTGAGAAAAAAGTCAGCTTTCAGGAAAGCCTACTTAGAGCATATTTTTGCTGAAGTAGTGGGGGCTAGTGATGTACTTCTCCTCACTGTAAGGCCTTCTCTGATACTATACATGTGTGCTACACAGAACAACTGTTTCTACCAAAATGAGAAAATTGAGTACTCAGACTTCACCTTTTCACCTGTTAAAGCCACCATGTCCAGAGGTCCATACATAAAGCGCCCAACTAGTACCTGAGGACCATCTTCTGCTGCAATGACATCATTAGCTCGGTGATTAGCAGTCACATTCTGAAATAAGAGCAGAAGGTGGGAAGTGTAGTGTTTGCTTTTGTAATGAGGCTACTCTCTCTATTATGTTATGAACAGTGACACAGAGACACAGTCCTGGACAGTGTATCTGAGGTACATCACTGCACCTGAGAACACTGAGCAGAACTGTGCTCCCATTTCAGCTGGAGCCTGATTTCCACTGATGGTGGGTTCCTGAACAGACTTTCTAGTGAGAGTGCTCAAGCCAACAAAATAAGAGAGAACATTTAAGTGAATGCAAATTATCTTTCACTTCAAGTGGTGCCATAGATTCATCAGTTGTTTAAAGAAATATTCTTTCTCCCAACAGGTAGCGATAAACAAAAGTAAATTGTTCCCATTCCCTAACTGTTAATTTGCTTGCCTCTAGATTAAGTGAAGAGGTTATTACTCTTTAGTAATATTCAGTTATGTAAACTCTTTATCCAGTAGATCAAACTCCATTTAAATTTCTGCCAAGCCCATGTTCCATGGCTGCCAGATATATTTAGATTTAAACTTACTCTCAATTTGACATGTGTCCTTTTGCGTAGCCATTTTTCTCGTGGATTAGATGGACTTAGTGTTTCTGGATCCAGGTTGTCATTTTCCTTGAAATTTGTATTTTCATACCTCATCACCTGAAATCATATTAACATTTTAATAAATAGTGTGTGGCCTGGGGAGTCCTGGTACTTGGCAAAGAAAGAGAAAATTATACTGCTGCTCCAGCTGAATGACACTACGGAGCCAAAAGCACAATGGAAGTAGTGAGACATACAGGCCATATGCTCTCATTAATTGTACAGACAAATAAACTGCTTTCACTCTGTTGGCCAACACTTAATCTTAAATACTTATTGAACAGCTTTTCCATTCACAACGGATTGCACACTTCTCCAGAGAAAATGGTGAAAACATTAGGCTGGTATCAAGTGACAGTCACATAGTCTTCTTACAGTCTGCAAAGTCACTAAAGCAGCTTAAGATCACAGAAGCCTTTTTAAATGTCCTTTATGTGGCAAAGGTCAGACTCCTGACTCCATCTCTGTTGATCTTCTATACATCTACTCAGACAGAATGGTTCTTATCACCTTTTGGGTATTACTCACCACTGCAGTAGCTGATAGCCTCAGGATTTGGCTTGGGGTAGTAACATCCAAAGACAATTAGAGAATCATAGAAAATCCTGAGATGGAAGGGACCCTCAAGGATCACTGAAGTCCAGCTTGTGAACATGCAGAACTCTAATATGTTATACAAACTACACATTCTAAATATCACACACTTACCAAGAAATGTGCTCGTCCAACTCAGATTTCAGGACACAACCCACAGAATTCAGGATCAGGGTGTGGGTTATGCCACATTTCAATTGAAATCTGTGGGTTCCACCCTGCAATCACGGATACTCATCTTGAATGAGAAATAGCTTAGTCTATCTCTTTCACAAGCTGGCAGAAAATTTAAGTTGAACAACTGGTTTTCTGCGCTAAAGTTTTCCACTCTGAGCACCCTTGCTAGAAGAGTGGCCTAGAATCATTTGAAAAGATGTCTTATATGAATTCCCTTGAGTACAATCCTGCTGCATTCAGAATTACCAAAGCTGTTGGGTTGCAACAAATCACAGTAATGCTGAGAAGTCAGCATGTCTTTTAACAAATTGGCATGCATTGTATTCAGTGGAGGTCATGTGCAGGAAATATATGCACCCACCGGGCATTCAGGAACCATTAGCCTTAATCTTAAGCCCTAACAAGGGCTGAAGGTCCAGACTGTGCCGCTGTAACTAACCAGTCCTTTATGTAGTGCTGTAAGCTGACATACTGCTTTACAGGCACGTTGCAAATGCTTGAAGGGCTTGTGAAATTCTACAAGCTGCAATGCACATACAAGGCTAGGAAAGACATGACAATGCAACTTCATAGGAATGCACAAAAATAACAAGTAGAATAGAGCTGGAATGGTTGCTAACAGACAACTGGGCTAAGGAAGGAACTTGAAAGGAAAGATGGAAGAAAGGTCTGATGGGTTCAATGCAAAAAAATCCTTAGAGAGAAGAAAAGCGCTATTAAGAAGAAAAGCACTATTAGAGAGTTGCAAAGGTGAGGAGAAACATCTCTGTACTATTGTCTAGGGTTCTCAGTCAGAAAAAACAGGGATTTGCATCCTGTCGCTTGTAGTAGAAATTGCTCCTCTACTTCGGGACAAGCATCAAATAAGATTCCTCTTTTGGAAACTGTTCTTTTTCATGGAAAAACTCTTCAGTGACTTTTGCTTTGCCTTGATTATGGTGACACTAGTTATAAACAAAGTTTTTTTAAATTAGGATGGTCTGAAAGGACAGCAAGATGTTGAAGAAATCTTAATTTCATCCATTAAAAGCAGCAATCAAAAAAACCTCTGCCAGTGGTCTGGTTACCAGACAGACGATCTGCTGTACACTCCACTCACATGCCACAGACAGACAGGGGCTGTACATCTGCACTGTCTGACCCAGCAGTAGTTCTGGGCTGGAGGGAACTAAGCCTCTGAGATCTCATTCCCCAGAGCTACCAGGTGAACTAACACCATTGACACCAGCACTGGGAACAGGAGCTGGAGGGAGTTCACACTCAGAGACTAGCTAAAAGTAGCTGTGAGAGCGGCATGCACACTGACATCTGCCAAACACACAGACTGATTCTTGGGTTAATCCAAATGAAACTGCTTGTGTCTGGCTTTCGTGTGAGGGTTACTATGGATTCTTGGAAGAACGCTTATTCTGCAGGTTTTACTTGAACGCCACTTCATTTTTTTCTGTTAGCCCAGGTGAGATTTCTCAGTCTTGTCCCTTTCTCTGTATGTCAGAGTACTGCATTTTCAGTAAGTGACTGTGAGCTGATGCCTAATTATGGGCACAGTAAGAAAAACAGACCCATAGTACGACTCAGAAATAAATTCTGAGGAGACAGTGCTCGCAATGCCTCAAAACACTCCTGTAAAGGAGAGACCCAATTTTTTTACAGAAGCAGTACTTTCAAACTGCTGGTTTACTATCAAGTGTATGCTGATGATATGATATTTAGTAGGGAGATATATAATTACGTAAGCCTGGAGATAGCCTATTCCTTCAAAAACAGGAGGAAATTAATATATAATACAGGGCTGTAATGATCTGGGGCACAGGAGTGGTAAGTAAGGTATGCATAATAGTGCAATATTCCCAGTCACAAAGTCAGCAGTGCTAATGGTGGGCTCATTGTCCCCTTCACCTCTCCAATAAATCCGCATCTGTCATTCCCACATACAGCTGAATGTGATGCAAACACAGTTAGCCATCTAACTGAACTAAAGATTAAAAGACCGACCCTTGGAAAATGCAATTAAAAATCACAACCCTATCTGCTACAGATAGAAAAAATAAAAAGATAATGACCTGTCTTAGAATGAAAGCCACAACGTCTGTTGACTCCCAGTAGCTGGCATGGAAGAGATGTGGAAGGGCCACCGTTGGAAAGGCTGTCAGCACATCTGGACAATACAAGGCATAATCTATTCGTTTTGTTCCCCACCACTTTGCAGTAACTACAAAAAATGAAACAAAATAGCATCACACTTATATATCTTAATAAATTTCTTGCTATCTTTATGTTTCAGCTAGATAATTGACTTAAGTCTTTTGCTTTTTTATCTTGACATTTAGAGTCTGTTGAAGGTATCTATCATACATGAAAGTACTGTTTTTACTAACTGCATCATCACTTAACTGTCTGCAATCAAAACAGTTCTTCTGGGTCCAAGTTCTGGAAACCAGACATCACCTCAGCATGATTCCCACTGCTTCCTGGCCCATGGAAAATGTACAGTGAAAGACTAGTACTTTTATGATCATAACTGCAATTACTTCCCAAATAGTAAATGGAATATCTATCTATCTGTCCATCTACCTACCTACAGTCCACAGCAGGACAATATAATGATCTGTAGCACTTTTAATTATAGATACCAAATCTTATCTATCTATACTGCTTCATGCGTGGAACATAATTGGAAACCCCTGTTACCTAGAAACTGTTATGACTGTTTATGAGCGGCACCTTACTATAAAACTATGACTGCACTTCTATTACTTTATCTATTTAATTACAATCACAAAAGGGAGATGAGATAAATTGTGTTATATAAAATTTTATCCCCAAACTTCCAGGTACTTTTCCTTTTCATAGTAAACTTTTTCACAGAAACGCTGTGGAGGGAAGGGCTGTTGCTACATCCAACAGCACACGGCACCAGGCTTCACTCACTGTTGGTGAGGCATGCTGATGGCAAGCTTTCTGTTGACCCTGAGTTTTCACTGTTTGTGCTGGCCAAGCTCAACTTTCTTGTTTTCCCTTGTGGTTGATCAGATGTATTTGGAGATCCAGAACTCTCCTGAGAGAAAGGTATGTTCAAAGAGCTGTTCTCAAGGAATAGAGCACTGTGGTTGTGGAGAGCATCACCTGCAGGTTACAGAAATGAAAATAACAACAAAACCAAAAAAGCAATTAACATCATGACTTTGAAATTAGTGTTCATGTGTATATTTGTTTATTTATTAATTTGTTTTTAAATAGAGCTAAGTGAGCGTTTTCCTGAATAATATCACATTTAATGCCCATGAATGAAGCTCTGTCCTTCAACGTGACAACAGCATGAAACAGCATGACTGTATGGAGAAAGCACACTCTCCTGCCATCCAAGTGCACTGGCAGTGGAGTGCTTTTGGCACTCAACCCAAACCATTTTAAAGTCATTTTCTAAGAAGAACTACACAGCCCTGGGAGTCTGTGATACTTCTCTTGTCCTCTTCCTGACATAAGCAAAATGACTTTCAAAAGAGAATCTTTAGCAAGACTATCTACTGGTTTGCACATTCCCAAATTGAACAGAATTTGCATTTATACATGCCATTGTGACAAAGCCAGACTAATACCTCTACTCAATGAAACAAAACACAGCCTTCCTCCTGAGGTATTCTGAAACATGTAAGAACAGACACAGATTTAAATAAAAGCATTACTGACAATTTTGCTTGAAGCAGCCTGCATACTCCTCCTCAACTGAGACACAGGTTATACAGCAAAGTGCACATCAAAAGCAGCTGACTCCTCAGTGTTGTTTCTCAGAGAATAAACCTCTTGGAGAGATAAAAACAGTGAACAAAAGAAAAAGAAGATCCAGTTCAATGCACATAACACAAAGAAAGCAGACAGCCCTGGATGATGTATTGCTCTATTTCGGAGTGAATTTTGGTTCTGTTCAGATAATTGTAGGATTGCTGTGCTCATCTTTCAGGTGGTCTTGGGTTGGGGAGTATGTCGTATGGAATAGGCCTGGAATAAGTTTCTCTGCAACTTCTCAAGTCTTACCAACTCTCAATGCAATTAATACCTCAATGGTGCACACAGGACACAATAACAAGTTGTTGCTTTCAGTGACATAATTCAAAAAAAAACCCAGAAGCTTAAGTGGCTACAGATTATCAGAACTGGTAAAACAATTCATCATTAAATGAAAAGGAATAGCAGTATAGTTCCCTAAAATCCCCTCCCTTCAAAAAAGGAGACTTGGTCAGAAAGATTCTGGCTTGTTTTGACATAAGCCTTAATATCTCAACTGCAAGAGACAACACAGGGAGCTGCGCTGCAACTGAATCAAAGAAACAATTCAATTCTAACATTTTGTGATGGGTATGTAGTTTGGACAGAATATGTTCAACTGCAGTTTCCATGAGAATGTGTGGTTTTTCACTAAAGAAACTACAGTGTACTGTTCCTTCAAAGGAATCTTGCTGACATGTAGCGTAGCTGTGTGTGGCTACAGGGAAGCTTGATGCAGGTGAAAAGAATGCAAGGATAATTTTATGACTTCCCTTATCTCAGGCAAACTATAAAGACTCCAACACAACCAACAGAAAAGGAAATATAACGCTTATTACTTATCTCACAAGATGAGGCAGTATTATACACTTTTTGTGGTGAAAAAAGCAACCTTTTTCATGGCTCTGAGAGTGACTAAAGATTATCATTTGTCCCACTAACCTAAATTTACTATTATGCTTGATAAGAAATAAAATAAAAGCAAGTCATTTTAGAGTCTTATCCTGGATAATTATGATAGTTACAGCTAATACAAAGTGGCAAAACAACTTGTCAAAGCTATCTAACACAGTAACTATCTCAGGATAAAATTAACAATACTTTATCTTATGCATATACAATTGGAGAAGTACTGTGCTTTTAGATGTTAATTTCTATTTATCCATAATAAAGCAGACCAGTTGGATCAGCCATAGTCTGGACTGGCACTCCTGCATATTCCTTATAAATAAATTATTTCAATTATGTCACAAAGTAAAATGTGAGGTAGACGCTCAAACAGTAAAGAGGATAATAATTATGTACCTCCTGCTATGTCAAATGTCTAAAAAGTACGCTACGTTGAAAATAGGTGTTTTGAATTAATACATAATAACCCCAAAGTAGATATAATGAATCATGTCATAAGCAGGAAAGCAAAACAAGGAATTAAATCCCACACATTAGTAAGTATCAAAAGACACGAGTGGTGGTAAATCAGAGACCTGTCACAAAGCTAAGGCTCACTTATAATAGCAACAAAAGCACTTTGATTACAAAATGTCAATTAGGTAGCAGCTAAGAAAGCTGCTGTTTAATGAAGGGTCAAGACAGTGTGGCTTTCTCTGGCTGTAATATAACCTGAATTTGTACCTTGCACTTACAGTGAAGAACCTCACCAGTTAACAGATCACACTTTTGTCTGAACCATTACTTCCTGCCATGTCTTCTGTCAGCAATCACCACAGACAGAAGAGTAGGAAGGGAAATGTTTTCTCCCCCTGCTCTGTGTGCCTGGCTGTGCTTTCAATGCAGTTTCTTCTACTTTCACTTGTCCGTATATCACATTCAGAAAACTAAACTTAAATCATGCCTCAAATAATTTTAATTTATTAAGTTCTTTTATCAATAGCCTAATAACGGCATCATATCCACCTTAGGAACTGCAGCAACAGGAAACAGAATTGGAACTGACCAAATCATTGACAGAAAGAGAAATAATTCTCTGAACTAGTCCAGTCTCTGTAGCTGTCAAAATGAAACCTGGGAAGAGTCAGCTTTCATCCTCATTAAGCTCTTAATAATTCAATCTATCACATACACAAAGAATACTATAATTACTACACACTAATTAGTGATAATTATTGATGCCTGCTGGACACAGAAGGTAATGGTCTAGATAAATTGTGCCCTGCTCTTTAAGTCCTGCCTTAGATGTTTCCTGAATCAAAATGGAAAAAGTAAATCTGATAAAATAAGACCTTGAAGATAAACCCTATGCACAGGGCATGTGGGTCCAAGAGCTTAATTTGATTGGCTATAACATAAAGACAGCTATAGAAATATCTCTCCTCCCCCGCCATCCCCCTTCCCATTGTCATGTTCTCCAGCCTCTGTTATTGCTGAACTGTTCTGTGAATCATATGGTGAAATCCTCTTCTAATAGTAAATCTTTTGTCAGGTACTTTCCAGATCAGAATTATTTTTTCACGGAGGCATCTATCAGGCAGACAGCAGAATCACTCTTATTTTAACCATTAGTGCTCAGGGGAAAAGGAACAGGGAATGAGATTGTTTAATGATATGAAAGATTATCAGAAAAGGCTGTTTTGGGCAGTGCATAATAATTAGACTTTGGTCTAACTAGGTCTCATCATAACTGATTAGTAAACTACCACTCCATTTGACACCACAAAAGCTCTCATTTTAAGAACTACTTTCACAAGCCCAGGTACCAGAGAAAGGAAAAAAATAAGGAAAAAAAATACAGTCACTAAAATTAATTCTTTGTGAATGAAGAACCCAAAATTCCAGAAGGATCTCAAAGTGCTTGCATTTAAATGGGAGAATTTCACATTCACTGAAATACAATACATCTTAAGTGTAAAGAAGAGCAATGATTTAACTCTGAGTAGGAGTTTAAATACAAAACCATACCATGGAACATTTGCTGATCATTAGCACTCAGGAACTTTGATTTTATAACACATCCAACAGACAGGGTTCCCAGATTTTCATGCTTTGTAAGGGAATCTTCTGACTCAGTGCCTTAGATGAACCCAAAGAGAACACCAGTAGTTTACAAATCACTTCTATAGCCTCTGTTTCAAGAATCACTGAAAGGGGTTACCTTAACACAGCAAAGCTGGTAAAATCTACTAAAAAAAGGTTTTCCATTTGAAAAAGAGCCTAAGGGAACTATTCTTCCTATGACAGTTATTTAAAGGAAGGTTCAGCTTTTCAAGACAGCCTTAGCAATATCTCAGTGACCAAATTTGTGCCTAACTAACCAGCAGGATTTCCAAGGTCACAGTCAGGCTTTACAGCAAGTCTGAAAGCAAAGCAGGGTATGAATTTCCATTGAAAGAAAACTGAGAAACAGGGGGTGAGGAGAGAGCACATATTCCCTAGTCTGGACTGTCCCTCACCTTAGCTACCCCTTGAATCAATTAATGAGGAACAGCCACATCTTCACATATTTCAGTGAAGCCAACAACTAGAAACAAACCTTCTGCAACTCAAGATCAACCGCTGCTTTTCAAAGTGATTTGCATCTGATGTACACCATATTTGAGCAGATAAAAGAAAGGCATTGTTGTACCCTACTACACAGAACAGGTTCCCAAACACAATTCTTCTAGCTCCAACAAATAGAAAACATTGCCATTTTACTGTATTAGCCTCCAACCTTAAACTCCAAATCCTGAGAAACTTTTTAAAATATCCTGTTGAAGCTTGAATTTATGTCTGAATCTGTAGCAAAAAGAATAAATCTATTGCACAAGCATGTACAGATACAAATTCCTTTTTTGCAGAACGTGACAAGTCAAAGATACTTCACACCTATATGATTTTATCTTATTTTCTATAAAGTCAAAAAAGCACAACTCCTTCTATTAGCATCTTGCTCATCCATGTATTCTTCCTTCCTGCCCAGAAATCAGTCTATTTCCAGTTTCTTCCAGGATTCAAACCATTTTTATCCAACATAATTATTTATTTAGTAGCTCACTTAGGAGGAGAGCAATCAAGATTGCTCAGTGCTCTGATCTGTCCTAGTACATAACTGAAGTGACCAACAGAAACAATATCTGAAGATCTAGGCAAAGATCTATTACAACTAATTGTAAAAAGAAATTGTTTAAAATAAAGACGTGGAATTTTTCAAGTGACACTTTAACTAGAACAGTGATATTGCCTTCCAACTGCTCTGTAACAAAACTAGTATCAATCTTATAGATATGATAATTTTTTTCTTAGCAATCTTCTTTGGTTCCACACTTGCTAAGTGTGTCTGTGCCACTCAGTCCCAGATGATTTGGTTTTAGCATATTAGCACACTGGTATCTCAAATCCTCTTGAGCTGTGGAAGGAGAGAATGCTTAAGAGAACAACAGATAATGAGAGCTATGAAAACAAGCACTGTACCTAATTGGTGAGATCTTCCATCCCCTAGTGGGTATCTCTGGTACCGTGGGACACTGAATGGAGGAAGAAGATGGAATCTTTTTTCCAGCAATGGTTCAAGTCTGCAGGCAGAGGGGTCAGCAGAGTGAAAGAAACTGTACACTTGGCTGCAGGCTGGTCGGACCTGGCACACTTGGATGAGAATGAGACAAAGAGTTCAGTATCGCCCCTTTATGATTTTCAAGGAGTCTACACAGAAATATGGTTAATATGGTCTTCTGCAAACTCCAGATTAGCATACATCTGGCCAGAAGAAATTTAACTACATAGTTTCCTATTTCATATGTAAAGAACACTTCACTGCACACGAGTTTACAGAGACATCACAATCTGAGATGCGGGCAGAGAGCAGATATAAAGAGCAGTCAAAGAAACAGACAGAAGCAGGGAAGGAAAAAGAAGTTTAAAAATCCTGTAAGTATGGTATTGAGCATTACAGCTGTGATGCTCAGCACTTCAAATATTTACCAGCAAAATGGTTTGCTGGGCCTCTGACATCCAGAGGACTTAAACCTAGATGACAGCAGAAGCAGGCAGGTGACAGAAAGCAGTGCAGTTTCTCCAGTCACCTTATGAATGCTCACGTATAGAAATGAGGTTGGTCATACTGTAACAGCACAGCAATGTTTATGATTTTTGCTAAAGGTGTGCAGCTCCTGAAGGTTTGGGGCTACAACTGAGAATGCAAATCTTAAATCATTTACTCAGTTAATAAGACATACTTTTGACTAAACACACAGCCCTGAAAAATAACTTATACTCATATGGGTGATCACACGAGACTGCTAAGGTCTGTAAGACAGTCAGTGTAGTCACTTTTCACCAAATCACACCTCAATCATACCGAATCAAATCAATTCATTAGGGGCTCATTAAACTTAGTACAGTTTGTACAGTACTGCATTACATGTTACAATGGTCAGTTCATTAACTACAATAGTAAAGCAATGACTGAACTATTTATAAAATATATCTGAGATAATTATGTCTTCTCCCTATGAACTCCATGCAAGCATGACACGTTTTCAAATCTGCCCTAGAGGCTACGTGGCTGTGGTTTCTCTTATACAAGGGCACGTAAAGATTAGTTTTAGAGATTAGTAGTGACATGACACAGTTGAAACTGTCATTCCTAAAGCTGCCTGCAAAAGCCAGGCTTACAGCTGATAGAGCCAAGCATCAAGTGAACACATTGGTTTATATTCACTGAGATTGTAAGATTTTCTGTGCCCATTAAGGGAACAATGCTGCTGAGCTGAGGGTAAAACTGAAGCATGGAGGCTTCACTTGGCCTGTTTCAGGTCCAGCAAAGTATTTAATATCCTTTATGTGTTTCAGTTGAAGAAACCCATATTGATGAAATCTTTTGATAATTTGAAGTGTTCTGGTTTTGCATTTGTAGGCAAGGTTATGATTTGAGAAAGATTTCTTTTTGCTAATAAGCAGATGACATTTTCCATTTTGTATGTTTAGTATTGAAAAATGTAATATATGCATGCAAGCTGAAATTATTTTCTTCGTAGTTTAGGCCTTCTGTCAGATTTCTGAGGTCTATACCTATGTCTGACACCTGCAGTGCTAAGCTGAGTACTTCACTCCCTACTAGTGTGGCATTCAGCAGTATTAGTTCCCATTGAGAGCAAGTGCAAAACACCCCAAACCACTGCAACCACCCCAAGGCAGGACAGGGTCACTTTGTGGATGGAACTAAATGCTCATGACTTATTGGGAATTGAGATTTGTAGAGGATAGCAAGCCTCTTCCAAGGATAATCAGCAAACTGTGCTTTAGACAGTAAGAACTGAGTGAGAGGACCACAGAAGACAGTGCTAGAGAGTAAACAGAAGAACTGTTAAGGAAGCATTAAGGGACCAATAGAATATTGAGCAGATGAAACTGAAAAGGTATTTGGCAAGGAAATAAAAAAATTGGAATGAAAATCTGGTTTTATACACAGTCTTGTTAGTGTAGAAATAAATTAATATTCAGAAAGTAAAACACAACAAAATGCATCTGTTCTGCAAACATAACAGGCAAACCTCTAGATACAATTTTCTTCCCTTACGTTTTAAAAACTGATTCTAACAAGCCAAATAAATAAAAACATCTGAATTTTATTTGTCACATTTTCAGGTAGCTTTCTACCTTTCATTTCAGTAAAGAAGATATCTGATTTCTCAACTAACTTCCAGCTGTCTGCATGGTAGTTTTCAATTTGTCTGTTTTCCTCTGAACTTTAAAATGGGATTCTTTTATCATATGTACCTCTAAAGACTAATTATGCTTCAAGTAGACTCTGCTCACCTCAGAATGTGTTTGAAATGCCGGTCAGTTGAGCTGCTCTCAAAGCATGCTCCCTGTAGGATACCAGAGGAAGGATGGCAGTGAGAGCTAATTTGAAGAAAATAGTTTTTTAACATGAAATTTTCCTGTCAAAGTGTCTGGAGGGTACCAGAGCTGAGACTGGGGAAAGAAGGGCTATTGGCGAAAAAAAAAAATCTGGAGTCTTGAATTGTTGCCTCTTCTCACTGTTGCAATGGATTTTTCTCCCTCACCTGATAAATGAATGTACCACTTCCTATGAAGGTGCTGTGCTATCCCAAGCTCATACCATGCAAAGAGACAAATCATGTAGTGAATATTGAAAAGTAAAGTAAGCTTTTACTTTAACTGAAAAATTTAAAAAATAAAACAAAAAAAAATAAAACAAAAAAATCCTCTATGCATCTGATCCCTAGGCTCTGTTACCAGAGAGGAACAATAGCTCACAAGCAACACACCAACACACCCAAGGGCCAAATTCACCCGTGAAGCCAGACACGAACAACAGGTAATGCTGAACCAAGCACAGATGTTATTTTTGGTATTGTTTTCAAGGACTGGCCCTTGGGGAAGTGTGAGCTTTCATGTTGTATGACATGGAATATATGATTAACAGCAGAGCAAAAGACACACTTCTTCAAACGGGTGAGCAGTGACATCCCTGAAACAACCCTCCTCATCTCAATACCTACTTACATTAATATTCCCATCTTTTAAAGGAGGAAATTTACCTCACTCCCTAGCATTTAACTAGGCTCCTTTATTTACACCCTTTTTGTGTGAGTCTCTGTTTATGAAGGTCATTACCCATCCTGAATTCTAACCCCAGGAAGAGCTTACCATCCAGTCCAGGCAGAACAGTGCTCCTCATGGCCAGCACCAAACCAAGTGGCGACCCAAAGAGGAAGAAATCAGACACCTCAAATTCAAATCGGCCCAGGTTTACTTCTGAGAGACTGGAATCCACAGGAGGAAGGTCTGCACCATCTTTCAACACACTTGAGTGGATGCTGAGCAAAGAAAATGTACTGAATCAACAATAATGAAGAGGGCATTCCCAAAACAGGCTGCTTAGAAAGCTCTAGCACCTGTATTTAGATCCCAGCAATACACCTTGAAACTGTAGACTGATATTGCACCACAGCAGCCACTTACCATTTTTTCGGTGTGGCTATTCAGTAAACTTACTAATTTCAACATGCAAGAGTTTTCTACAGTTATTCTACAGAATACTTACTGGTAAATTATGCAAGGACTATGAAGACTGAAGTTTACCTCCCCTCCCTTTTAGCAGTACAGATGTATGTAAGTTTATTCTGACTCTTCTGCTACAAATTCTAACCTACTCTAGCCGTGTAAGGACAATGGTATTAGAAGGTTACAGTCAAAGTATGTTACTTGCGTGCATAAAAAGCATTGTTCCAATCTGTTTCCTGACCTATGACCTAGAATTTCACTACTTTTCAACTATTTGTTACAGGTGACACTTCCAGACAGCTTTTAGAGTGATTTAAACACTTCCATTTACTTTGTATGCCATACATGCATGAGGTAAATACAGACCACTTATCCCTCACTGACAGAGAAAAGACTCTGCCATCATTTAGTTCTGCTGGAGATGAAATATCTACATTCAGAAGCAGAAAAGTAGCCTGTACACTTGCTGTCCAGCCATGAGACAGAGTAGAACAGGCCTCCAGAGCATGGAGAGCCTGACTGAGAGACACTGACCATGCTGACTTCAATCAGAACTGTAAACGAAGTGCTCAGGAGTTATGTGCACACCACACACTGTATCTGTGGCCAAGTATGGATCAGAATCCAGAAATTCTGAAGACTGATCTCAAATCAGGCCAAACCTTCTTTCAATCTGAGACCCTAGTGACATTCTCAATTTATAACCCAATGTTATTAACTGTAACCCTGAGGACCAAACTTAGGGCTTCATTTAATGCAGAAGTGAAGAAAGCCATGAACTAAATCTATCAGCATGGCAGTTTGCAGTTACCTCTCTATGCCACAAGCACTTGGACAAAGAGCACAAACTGAGACACTGGAACACAATTACAGTGTGTAAGGTAACAACATTCCTTTAAAAGAATGATCTCTGTAATGATCATCTGTAAAGATGAAAGAGCGATCTCTGTAACCTCATCACTGATATGCCTCTGCTAAATTGCAGTAAATGAGATAATGGGGAAAAAGGTATCAATGATCTTAAGCAAGTTCCACAGACAGGAAAGCAAAGGCTTGGAGCCTCTCTTTATGTACAGGGTGGGTCAGAGGATGACATGGTTTCGTTTCATTTGTTTTTTTCACCCTCTTTACCTTACCAAGGAATTTTTTCTGCTGTCTTTAGCCTATGTTTGTCCAACTGTTCCTCAACAACTTAGCAACAGCCTGAAGTTTGAGTCCAAAATGAGAGTGGAAGGTAACACTTCTGTCTGCTTGTTAAGTACAGCTCATGTAAAGCTTTCAGTTTAAAATCATAGACACAGAGGAAATGAAAGGTTTGGAAGAAAACTGTTATCTTTGTCCTTCCATTATCCTATTATTCTTCAAGTCCAAAGTGCTTTATACAAGTCAACATTGTGCTTTAAATATAACACAGTACTTCTCCTACACAAGAACCTAAAAGTGACTGACCAAAAAACTTCATGTTTTCAGCCGTAGACAAGCGAAAAACCACCACTGTGCCTCACTTTACAACACAAGGATACCCAGAAAATGTAAGGTTTGAAAATGAAAGCAGAATAGTCAATAAAAACAAAGCAAAGGGCATTCAGTCAAAGCAATAATATCAAATTACCTTAAGCTGCTACTAAGAAAACTGCCTGACTTGAAATAAAGCACAGTAGGAAGTCTGCCCTATAGTCAACTCTAGCAGGACTGAAACTCAATACACAGTAAGACTCACAATGAAATAAAGGAACTAAGATGATGGATAGAGGAAGCAAAAGCCCAAATAATTCAGATTAAAAAAAAAAAACAAACAGCTTAGAACAGGCAGAAACAACAAGACAAAGGAAATGCTTATGTTCCCATCAAATCTGTATTTCAAAGGTTTCTTAAGATCACGGAAAGCTAATTAAGTTAACTCTCCTCCCCTAACCTCCTCCTCATTTAAGCCAAATGTTTATGCAGGGCTTTTTTGTTGTTGTTTTAAAGCTGATCTGAATAGCTCATAGACCACCTAAAGAGCACCTAAAGCAATTATCTCACGCTTTATAGAATAAAAAAAATCCTGAAAATGAATTCAGAGGGATCTTTAGATAGAAAGAGGTAACAGAAATTTACACTTATAAAGTATTCATCCATCTTGATTTGAGTGGGCTGCACTTCAGAAATAGAACTTTGTGCATTCATTTTTCCATATTCAAAACTCTCACAACTGAATAAAGATTAAATAAAAAACATTCCACGTGTGAGTAAGTTAATACTACATCCATTAAATCCATAGGGTTTTTCTGAGGGGTAGACAAGGACTTCAAGCAAACGTCCAGAAACACACCACAAACAGCAACAATGACTCTGTGCTCCGGTGCTGACAGGCTCCATTCAATGGCAAGGCTGTTTCTTTTACTCAGTCATTGAACACCAGTTACCTAGACAGGAGAGCATGATGCTGGGCTATAGCATCACAGTCATAGGTGGAGGAGTCACTTTGTTTCCGAGGCAACGGCTGCCTTGGCTCCTCATCCTCCATGATTCCCGAGATGTCAATATTGCTTTTGCTCAGGTGTTTGCTGTCACCCAGACTGGAGTCCTCTGCTAAGAGGGGATTATCCTTCAGAAAATGAACAGAGCAAAAGGAAGATTTAGATAAGACACCAAAATACGACAGAGCTTATATGAAATGGCTGCATTTATACATTTGACCTCACTTTATTCAAGAAAGGGTGGAAAGGGTTAGACTTCCTCTTTGCGGTAGAAGGAAAGAGATGAAGACTAAATTTCATTGTAAGATGCATAGCCTAAAAGCTGGAAGGAGAATCAGGAATTGGGGGGGCGGGGGCACGAGGGGCAGAAAGGAGGAGTAACAAAAAGCTTTATCCTTCATGACTTCATCACTCTTAGAGAACTATAAATATCATAAGGTAATCAGAAGGGGTCTTACCTAAGTGCACAAAATGCCCACTACAACATTAATGGTCTTGTTCATCATGTTCCATGGATGTGGGATCTGATTTTTTAAGAATGTCAGCTTCTGCAGGATGCAAGAGACCAGTGCCACCATATCTTCCAGGTTATTTATTTCTTTATTGTTCATTTCCTCCAGCACTTCTGCAGCTTGCACCAGCATCCTCCCTGATATATCCCTATTACTTCCAGACTTTTATTCCTGAGTCCATTTCAGCAGCCTGTGCAAATGATGCTTTTCAAAACAAATGTCACTGGACTGAACCCCCCCACCCATGCGTGAGATCTCTGTGCACAAGGCATAGCAAGATCTGGTTCTTTATAATGACTGTGCATACAGCCTGGGGAACAAGAGGCTGGAGAACAGCCCCGTGGGAAGGGATCTGGGGGTCCTGGTCGATGGCAAGGGGAATATAAGTCAGCAGTGCCCCGGCAGCCAAGAGGGCCAACCGTGTCCTGGGGGGCATCAGGTCCAGCATCGCTGGCCAGGCCAGGGAGGGGATTGTCCTGCTCTGCTCGGACCTGGGGCAGCCTCACCTGCAATACTGGGGGCAGTTTTGGTCATCACAATATAAGAAAGATATTGAGCCGTTAGAGAGTGTCCAAAGGAAGGCAATGAAGATGGTGAAGGCCTTGAGGGGAAGCCAAGGAGCAGCTGAGGTCACTTAGTCTGGAGAACAGGGGACTAGGGGGAGACCTTATCGCAGTCTACAACTTCCTCATGAGAGAAAGTGGAGGGGCAGGCACAGACAAATTCACTGAGGGAAGAATAAGTAGTTTTAAAAGGACAAGGGACTAGATCTCTGTGAGATGAACCTAGAGAACATCACTGGGAAATTGGCTAGGCATTGTACAAGAAAGCGGGATTCAAAGTTTTTCTTTTCCTTCTTGCATACATCTCTCTCCCAACACTCATTTACATTTTCTCTACCACTGCTCCCTGCTCCTGTCTTCCTGGACACAGCATTATGCACTGTACCGTTGAAGTGTCATTGGAACACTTTACAATCCATAACCTCAAATACCCCAAATCAAAATACATTGTCATGCTCAGTACTTTTAAGCAACTTGCAAAAAGTATCAACTCCAACTAGACAAAATAGAGGAGAAAGTGCACAAAGCTTACAGATGAGGGCTGGGGCATAATAGATCAACTGGCTTGGCCAAAGACATGCAGACAGACTATGGAAAACATGCTAATTGAATCTGTTTCTCTCCAGCTGCAGAAAGAACAAGTTCATAGGACACATGAGCTATGAGGTGAACCTTTCCACACAGTTCCACCTATAGTCTTCAACAGCCAAGAGGATCTTCTGCCTTCTGTGAGAAGTGAATAATTAGTCTTATTCCCAAGAGCCATGTTATTAATGGTAAGTAATTCTCCTTCCTGGAAAAATTTAGACAATGTCTTTTGCTCGAGAGTACTTACACCACATATAGCTCTCAACTGAACAAAGCAGGTCAGTGTCATTGAGCCCATTTTTGAGGAGAGGTAACTCAAGAGATGAAACAATTTTGCCACACTCACAAGGCCAAAGAACAGAGTATGGGCACCTCACAGTATCATCTCTAATTCACCACACCCACTCTCCATATGCACTTGAGCCTGAAGTACATAAGATCGACTGAACTTCAATTTTCTTTCTTAAGTGTCAAACACAATAATTAAGTTTACGTGCTAGCATCACATTAAAAACCTCTGCTTTTATTATCATAAAATCTTTCCTGGATGACAGGTAGGATTACTCCTCCCTTCTCTGCAAATGCAGCACTTGTATAGACACTCAGTGGTCCATTCACAGATCCTCAGGTGACTTGCATTCCTTATGAAGAAAGAGGCATTCTTTCACCACTCATTAAAACTTATTTGTAACACATCTTAATGCTAGACTACCCCCAGGCACTAGCATAATGAATTCCAGACCACATGTGAACAAATAAAAAAAAAATTTAAAAAAATATATTTTGACAAAAAATAGGAGCCTAACAGAGATTACTGAGACAGGACATGTTTGCATCTACAGTTAGGGATACTATAAAGGGCACTTGGTAACCCTATTTTAAAGGTTTACAGATAAAGCCTTCACTACTGATTTCCGATATCATAAAATTGGAGCTGACAACTGCAAATTTTTGATACATGAACAAAATCCCATTCTATCATGGCAATTTACCAAATCCTTAATTTTTCTCTGTCTTATATGGAATTAATTTTCTCTAGGGTATCAATCTATAGGATTTCAGCCTTGTGGATTTTTTCTCTTCACCTGGATGCTGCTGATGCTTCCTCTCCTGCTACTGTTTCGACTCTCATCAGCTGTATTAGAATTATAGCAGATGGCATCAAAGCCCAAAATTCCGCCAATGCAGTCACCTATGAGACACACCTGAGAAAACAGAAAGAGACATGTAGCAAGTGTTTTAAAAGAAACAAAAAGCATCACAGCACTGCAGAGGAGTTCCTGTCTTACTTCACACCCTCGTTACTGGTTTTTACACCCTTGGTTCCTATTGCAGCTAAGATTGTGTAGCCACTTTTGTCCACTTCCTTTTATCTCCAGAAATATGCCCTATGCCAAGAATATCTGTCCAGGGACTATTTTGACCAGCAAGAGTTCTGCCAGATGGATTAGAACTCTTACAGCTACTTGTAGCCAGATTCCAGCTCAAAAAGTTCGTATCACCAGATGACTGGTGACACAAAGATTTCCAGTCACTTAACATTTCCTTCAGAGTCATAGAGGGATGACAGACTGGTACTCTCCTGTCAGGACAAGGGAACGGAACTTTAAAATCAGGTATTAAGCAAAGAGATTCACTCTTGCTTCCCATTTAATATACACGTAGAAGCTACCTTCAAAGTATGGACCTGGCAATTAAAAAAGCACAGACTACTAAAATAGGGAATCCAATAGTTGGAATAATTTTATGGCACACTAGAACCTTCCCTAATTCCACTGAACACCTCCCCAACCCATAGGAGATGATTCTTGCTCCCTGTCCCCCCGTCTGTGTCTGAGCATGAGCACTAGCTTGACACCAGGCTCCAGCAAAGCCCCTCTCTCCAATTCTTGAACTGAACCCATCGTCTAGTCTGTTATTCCCAACTCCTATTAGTTTCCTTAACTCACTTCTAACATTAATTCAGCTTGGCTACAACACAAAACTATAAGTTTTGGATACAGGATGTTGTGCACGCTTTCTTCCAAGTGAAGATGTTAAGAAAAGCAAGTTCTTCAAGATGCAGGTAGGGAAAAACCTCAAACTTATCTCAGTGCATCTCCATGTGGCACTCTTCCTGAACTGAGTACATCTCTTGTACTCAATTAAAATTATAAAAAACATTTTGAAAAATAAAATATCAAAATAAACTAAAGTAACGTCTATCCTAAGACATTTCTGATTCTAAAGTTGTATATAATTGAACAGTATGCTAATTTACTCTCTGATTTTCAAATTCCTATGCTGCACAATGAAGTCCACAAAGAACTGAAAATCATATGACACAAGTAACCTTAATAAAATTAACAACACATTTTGTAGGGAATTGGTAATAACTTCTTCAATTTAACAAGGCATTTCTAATCCTTACTGTTATTGGCATTAAGGTAATGGAGTTAACTTGTTCCAGGTACTGAATAAAACCAAAAAGGAAATCTCTGCTCTAATGAACTTGCTACATAAATAGACAGAAGAGACCAAAATATGAAATGAAAGACACACACAAGGTGGGTGTCAGGATATATGATATATATTTGATAAGTACAGGACTTATTTGGAGGCAGAGTTGAAATTTCTATCTAAGGAGAAAAGCAAAGCACTGTAGAGAGCACAGAGAAGTCACTTCCGTTTCAACAGTGCTGGTAATTGTTGATGGTGAAAATTCTGTGGAGCATACAGAGATCAAGCACACTCTTCCAATGAAGTAATATATCTGATTCATAAAACACACCAAGGAGGCTTCTTTGTGGCTTTGTCAAAGAAAAAAACCATAACACTAAATTTCTATTGAGAAAATTGTTTTCATATTATTCTGTAACTGGTATAATTCTTCTTTATATAATTACACCTTTCATAATGTTTTATCACTGTAGTTGGGCTGTTTTTATGCTTCCAACAAGAACAGTTTCCTATGCATGGTAAAACTGGCTTCAAACCAAATTTTAGTCTAAAAATACTGATATGTCACAGCATAATCTTATTACTGCTATGGAAAAGAATTTGTTTGTGTAATAAGACACATGCTTTTCTTCAAAGGTTACACTGTACTCTATATATTAAATGTATTTTCTTTCTTTTTCTGTAGTGTGAAGGTCACTGCACTTAAATGCACATTTCTGGCTATGTAGATGGCCCCATTGCAAAATAATTTCAGTAATTTACACAGAGTATCAATATCATATTCCTACATGAAGCCTGAAAGTACTTTTTTGTAGTCTAAAGACGGCGAAGCAGGAACAGCAGCTGACGTGTCAGTCAGAAGAAACCTCTGGGTGACTTCACTGGTGCGTGGGTCACAACAGAAAAACTGCATGACTTCCCTCAGAGTTATACAGGAAATATGCAATGCTGCTGGCAACTGAGTATTTGTCTTCCATGTTTCTCTACTGTGAATTTTTTTTTTATTACTACTGTGATGGAGGCAAAAAAAGAAGTAACAATAGTTAAATGTTGGACTTCTTATGATCTTAAAGGTCCCCCAATTTTTTCATCAGCTATAGCAGATGTGCGAAGAACTCATTAACACAGATTATCATCTGTCTTGGGCTGCCATGCTTGTTCACTGCTCAGCATACCCCACTTACCACGCCGTAGCAATACTTATTAAGAGCTTAGGGGTCAAAATGCTTGTGGGAAAAGGTATATAATCTTCTACCAGCTGCGTAAGTCCACATTAGATAGTGCACAGGATTCCAGAAGTGTCTTTCTTGTGCTGGGCACTGAGAAGGTATTTTGAATAGATGACCCCATGCTAACATTCATTCATCATATTTGCAGCATTATCTCACACACATAACTCAAAACCCTCAATACAATGGCTTAAAAAGAAACAGCCTTGCTCTGAAGGAATTTTCATTTGATGTAAGAGAAAACAGTCCTACCTGTCCATTAAAACCAGCCCCATCTGTAGATTTGAGAAACTCATTGTAAACTTGATTGGCTCTGCTGATCACCATGGCAACGGCATCCTGGTACTGAGGGGATGAAACAGCCAGCAAAGGCAAGGCAGCCAGTGGGATGTGGTCTTCACTGCTGCTGAGACAGCTCTCATCATAGCTGTAGGGATTTAGGCTAGAGAAAGACGTTATTATCAGGAAAACTGCAAGAGCCAGCACAAAGCATTAGAGAATGGTAATTAACAGAAACGGGTTGGGCTACTGCAGTTCACAATGAGAGAATAAAGGAAGGATCATTTTCTCACAGAATTCAACTGCTTAAAAAAATCAAGGAGTTACTGCTTTAGTTGAATGAGATTACACCAGAAGGCCTTTCTGTAGTTAAACTACTTGATACTACTGTGCCACATACAAGTAGACATAATTTAGAACGGCAATGACATGATTACATTTCAGCCTTTTTTTCCCCCCATATAACAACTTACTACATCAGAGAGCAGGATCCAATCATCACAATGGAATATTGTTTCCTAGAACACAACTACATCAGGTGTATTGTTCAAAAGCACATAAAGACATTTTTCCCAGTGACCCATCTTTTCAAAAAGATGAAAGAAAGTTGCACACAAGTGTTTGCTTCCTAAACATGTTTTGTTTTGGCCTTTTTTTCCTTCTCTCTCCTTCCCATTCCCTCTAAATTTGCAATGATTATCCTCCAGTTTGGCTGATTATTCTATAATTCAGAAGCTTTACTCTGAGGTGTGAATCAATGTATGCTCATCAAACCATATGCTACAAAAAGCATAACAGTTGATCCACTCCGGGATATTTTTCTCCCTGAAAAAGGGAAGAAATGGTTTGAAAGTCATCTATCTGGAACAAGAATGTGCCTTAGTTTTAAACCCTTTTTGTTCTTAGCCACAAAGATAGAGCCATTTTAAATTTACACAGGTTACATAAAGAATGTGTTTTTGATTTATATGAGAGACAGAAGAAACTGAAATGACGGCAGTAGATGGGAAAAGACCAGTTTAAACAATCCAAAACATTTACCACATGGAATGATTTTGCCCTGAAAGATCCCTTTCCTTTAAGCCACTATCTGCAAGGCAGAGAAAACTGCACAGGTACATTCACATAAAAACTTCCAGTAGAATCCCTCTGAACCTGGGCACTCTGCACACAGGCACAGCATAATTCAAAACCTATGCCAAGGTAAACACCAGGCTGTACTACCTTGGAACACACTCACAGTGCATCTTCAGAAAACGGAGGCCACATTCAAAACAAAAAAGAAATCTTGTATTGCTGCTTAGTCAGTCATCTGGCTCACCCTCAGTGAAAGACTACAGTAATTAAAACTATTCTTCCTCCACCACAGTTTGCTAAAGGGAATGTTTACCACAACTTTATGTTCCACAACTGCATTCTGGAGTTCTGGCTATGAAAGCTGCTGGCATGAAGCTGCAGAAATGTGAGAGCAGAGAATTATCTCTCCTTCTGTCAGCCCCAAATGGGTACGTGTCAAGCAGCTCCACACAAGAACATACCACTGCAATATCAATGTTATGCCAGGGCTCAGAATGATTCTATAGGAAATTCAAACATCCAGGATGGTGTTTTTAACTCTGGTTGGATACTGTGTGCTGCAACAAGAGGAAATAAAGAAACAGAGGTAGAAAGTCAAAGTTGTATTCATTTGGGCTGCCAGCACGCACACTTCTGCTCCAGCAGCTTTTTCTCCAGACACCTGAGACCTGCAGGCACCGCACTACGGCATAACAAAGGGACACTGAGTTCTTTGAGTGCACCTAATCTCAAGGGGTAAAGAGGAAAAAAAGCTTGTTAAACAATGGCCCAAATGGGCACGGGTGATCTTCCAAACACTCTTTGATGTTTCACCTCCTCTTCTATAATTTCTCTTGCTTTACAGGGCAGCACCTTGGACATGCACACACTTCTTTCCTGGTTGTTTCTGTGTATTCCCTCCCCCTTGATGCAAACAGTCAGGCACAACTTCCACCAGTCTGGTCTGCATCCTGGCACCTCTTCCTCTTATGTGCCTGTCACAGCTTTAAGTCCAGCTAGTATTTCAGAACTTTAATGTGTTCTCCACCTCTCCCATCTAAGTCTGATATCTGGACAGCAGGCGTCACCATTCCTGGATCTTATGGCCAAAAACATGGTTGTAGACCTCCTCAACTCTTCTGCAGGGTTTTCTGCTCTACATCAGCTTCAAATGTAACCCTAGGCACTATACTGCAACAAAAAAGACTGTAAAAGCAGTTTTGGACTGTGTTTTGCCTGGGAAGTCCCAGACAAAACAAAGGGAAGTTTCTTTCTGCTTAGAAAAACAGAAATCGGAAAAATCTGTTTGTCTCCTCCCCTCCCCAGAGTTCACCAGTTAATTCTGGTCTGCACTTGTAGAAGAGCTGAAGCGGTCCAAGAGCATGTGTTTCTTTCTTCCTTCTCTATCATGCCATTGAAAGCATTTATGTCAAGGAAAATATCTCTAAGGAAAGAAATGTTACCTGAAAACGTTCTCTCATTCAGTGACTGAATTCCAAGACTGAAAAAGCATGTAGGAAGAGCAGCTACTGAAATGGATACATCCAACAATAAGTGTTTTTTTAAAACAAATTCATCCACTTAGAAAAGGATGAAAAATCATTCCAAGTCTTGCAATCAGCAAAAGATTAAGAAGGACTTGCAACACTTCATTATGAAAAAGATAGGTCACAGAAAGCCATTTAAAACCACAATGCAAAGCCAAACATCAGGAAATTCAAATCAACTTACTTGGAAACAAGAGAGAAAGCTGCTGAACAGATTGCTGGGCAGGGAACAAGTCTCATTAGGATATGGCCCAAGGAGGCAGGGAAATGGGCTCGGGTAACCTTCTCAAACACAGAACTGAAGGTGTTGATGTCTGCCAGCTTGCTGCTGTGGTCCCCACCTCCAGTGTCTAAGATGTTCCCTCCATGTAGGATCAAAATTAACACATGAGTTTTGCAGTTCTGGTGTTGAACTCCTTCCTGTGAGAAAAACAGGGAATAAAAAGGGAGGAAGCATTTTTATGGACATTGTTGGTATACCTGGTGTCAACATCAGCAGTGATTTTTTTTCTCCCATCCCCACTGTGATCATTTTGTGATATTTGCCTTTGCTGGAAGGGGGGTGTGTGTGCATGCCCCACGTTCCATTTAATTCAAGTATGTCTGACCCATGTAGAGCCCACTACGCTCTGACAAAAAACCCTGCAGCACAGATGTAGGTTTCAGATCAAAGATTAAAACAGCTTTGTGTACATCAAAAGCTACTTTAAATACTCTGAGACGGGAGAAGAATTTCAACCTCCACAGGCAGTCTAAGCAATCATCTGTCTAGGTATCCTGAACGATTGCTTCATTTACTGGCAGGATTCTCATTCAAATCATCAAAGGTTCTAAAAAGCCAAATTTCTCCGCCGATGAAAACATCCAGCAGAAGCAGATGATACAGCTACCTCAGCTTCTTGAGACTGCAGCTTCTTATTAAAACAAAAGATGGGGGTAATTTACCCAGACACTTACTGGAAAAGTAAAAAAAAATTATCATTGCTTATATCCATAAAACTCACCAATAAATTTACGAACATGTGAATATGCACAGACAATAACCAGCTTCACAGAATAAACAAGATATTTTCTACTTAAGACTGGAAAAGCATTTTGAATGTCTCACAACTCCACATTTTTTTTCCTCTTTATCCCCTGAGAGTTATGTGCATTCAAAGAACTGAGTAATATATTAAAAGATTAGACTTTTTGTTTTTAAATCTTGACTGCCATTTTCTTTTCACTTTGGATCACATGATTCCTGAAGACTTCTAGTTCCTGACCAAATACAAACACACAACTAAAAAAACAGCAATATTTCTTGTACTTGTCTAAGGACTGTTAATTGCTAGATTGGGTGATTCACTGAGAATCAGGCAATGTTCTGGACACGTTATTCTTAAGTTCTGGAATGAAGAGAAATTGGTAACTTTAGCACTTGTATAATGGTGACAGAGATATGGTTGAAAATGAAAGAATTGTAAGTTATTCCATAAAGCCGCTATCTCTGTTCAGCCCACAAATTTTAGTATGCAGTAGAAGTATTCACTGTGAAGGCATTTTGCTGACCTGACTTATATCTGCTTAAATACAGGATCATATGAGCTTTTTTAAGGTTCCACTTTTCCTTGCACTCATTTACAATTTCCCTCTCCATATGGTTCCATTCCAGTTATTCAGAAGAGCAATTTAGTTCCCATTAAAAGGTAAGAGTAGTTCCTTCCACGACCAATGCCTGCTTGTAAATAAGCAGCACTGCTGATGGGTTGGTGGAACTGAAAACTTCGAAACGGGTCTCTCAGCTGGATTTAACTGGTATCTTTCATAGGAAGACTCAAATGGAATGAAATTAATTTGCCTCTCAGCAGTAGCTCAGTCATGACTGAGACAAGGGGCTCAAGGGCTAATCAACTGGATTGAAATCAATCAACGACTGTCATAATTTTCAGTAGGAGTGGAATTCTTCAAAAACGTAAAAGTGGACATTTCCATTACCTGTCCTATGTGTGGACAGAGGACCTTAATCAGTTTGTTGGAAGGACCACAACTTGTTTAGATTCTTTCCTGCTTCTAAAAAAAGACAATTGTGTTATTATCAATTTCATGAGTGCTGCTGAATCTGCTTCAAAAAACCTGCACTTCCACTCAAGTACTAAGCAGATATAACAATTTCTCTTCAGAGAACTGGGTCATATTTCCACCTAAGTTAAGTATTTCCAGTGTCTAAAAAGCTTGTGATGATTTTCAGTGATTGCATGTGCACCTACCGAACAAGGGAAAGACACACTAAGCCATCAAATGAGTTTATAATTCCATAATACAATATTAGAGTATTTCCACATGTCTTCTCTTTAGAAATCACAGCTTGTTTTAGGAAATAATCTTACCTCATTGTCCTCCTGTATTTCAACACTACCTTGTGCAGGGAACCTTTGTTTTCTTAAAGAGGTTCTATATAATTCACCTGAAAGGAAAAGAGGCATATTGGTCATATAAATATTTGTCTACCACATCTTTTACAGACAACTATGTGTAAGGCACATTTCTAATTTCAAGACAGAAAGTTCAGTTCACAGGAAATCCTGTGGACAAACAGAAAAATATACAATATTAGAGGTTCTTCTATTCTTAACAGCAACATTCAGAACAGGATTCAGGTCCTTATACAGAGGTGTGTAGTACCAGTACAGCTGCTGTTGATCTGTGTCTTCCTGAAGCAGCAGTAGAAGAGGTCACCTGAGGTTCTGCTCATCCCATACAGGTATCTTAGGTACTCTGATATGTCTTAAATATCACTAAACACCTATATATAGGCAAGTGAATTAAGCCTTTCAAGTTCTCCAAAGACTTTCAGGATGCAGTTCTTCCACAAACCTCTGTGACTACCTAGGCAACTCGATTAAGTAACTGCAGTGCTCCGTTACCATGATGCAAAATAGAAGTAACAGACCATAGAGCAAAAGACAATTTCTCCTCAAAAAGTCCTGTAACCTGAAAATAGGAAGTGATATTGCAGAAAAACACATTTCTTTGCTAATACCATTTCACAACAGGATCACGCCTGAAAGTCCTCAATTATAAACAGAACAATGAAAATGAAACAACAACAATGAAAGTCTCTGCATTGACTTCAGAACATGACCAAACAGACCAAAAGGCCCACCTGTCTGGGCAGACTGGCTGGGCAGCAGCCTGCTCTAAGCAGTGGAACACTCCTGATATCAGTTTTAAGACCATGAGATTTTCCACTGTCTTGCCTCGGGAAACAAAACTTAGGAAGCTTTTCTTTGCAGAGAGCGTGGTTAAACACTGGAACAGGCTTCCTAGAGAGGTGTCAATGCCCCAAGCCTGTCAGTGTTTAAGAGGCTTTTAGACCATACTCTTAATAATATGCCTTTACTTTTGGTCAGCTGTGAAGTGGTCAGGCAGTTGGACAAGATCATTGTAGGTTCCTTCCACTTGAAAATATTCTATTCTATTCTATAACTTCTATAACTGGCTATGAAAAGGCTTGCCCTCTGAACAAATCTTCTCTGTGCTTAAGGACAGAAAAGAAGTTGATATAGCACTATCCACTTTTTCTGTTTTGCACTGTGTTTTTTCAGTCATTGAAGAGAATCACTACAGGCTCTTTCTGGTCTCCTCATAATGCAGTATTTTTTTCTACCGCTGCATGTTACCTGGGAAACAGCTGGAAGATGAAATTTGATTAGCAAATGTTGCGGTGGTCAGTTCCTTGGGGAGGGCAAATGTGCTTTACTCTTTTGTCAACTGATGGAATTCCAGACAAAATGCGAATTCTATCCCTGTAACAATTCCTCCTCCCTCTCATGTGGGGAAGAGGAAGGCTTTGAAACCATCCTGAATCACAACAGCAGAAATTTGTGATTTAAAATTTCAGCTGACTGCAGTGTTGCAGCCCTAAAATTCCACTTATCTCACAAAGATTAGCTGTTCCTAGAGAAATCGTGAGGCCTTCCTCCCTCTATGACAGATACAAGTTTTAGGAGTTAAAGAGAGAGGATTGTACTAAATAATAATACAAAGTAGATAACGGACAGCTTTTGGGATCTAGACACCTTTTCCTCTGTTTCTTCCAGCGTGCCAGAAAAAAACAAATACACTGCACAATGCTATAGGTGACTCAGTTTACTTTTCCTTGGCATTTGGAGTTCATATCCTCTTTGTGGTTTCACTCCATTTGTTTACAGGCAGTTTGTCAGACCCTAAGACAGTGTTCACCAAGAACATTGCTTAAGCAAGATCTGGTCAGGTTATTCTAGAAGCACTGAAATTAGTCCAAAACAAATTCTGAACACTCTTCTCTTCTGCATTAGGAGCAGGTTCTACCAACATCATTCCTTAAGAGTCACTGGAAATTTATTTAGCCCCTGTGTCTACATTTCTCCATATTTAAAATTGAGGTAATTATTCTTGCCTTTCTGACAGGCAAGGATTTAAGGTATTAGTCATTCAATACTTGTATAAAATAAAAGGGTACCACAACAAAAAACAAAATACCAGAAAGCAAATCCAACAGAGACAACATATACCCATAAACTCTGAGCTTCCACTAAATTGAATTGCTTTCTGGAACTCTCTGCGATTTAATGCTGATCTCATTATTAAAAAGTTATGTAAACAGTATGAAATTTATAAGTTCCATTTTTTGGGAGATTATCAATTGATGCCATTTAAAACATAAGGCTGCATTATAAAAAACAGCAGGAACTACTGAGCATTTTTTGTCAGGACTATGTATCAGCTCACTGAGAACCATACTAGGTAGTTAAATGGCTCTTAGCAACATGTGGTATCAAAACAAATTAACATGAAATAGGTGAGTAAAACCAGAAAGTAACACTTGTCTATTGCTTATCAGATGCTGAACTATAAGAATGACAGCATACAATCCTAAACTAAATGCAACCCCAATACAGAAACTGCTTTTCAGTCTAGGAGTCAACAGCCAGGAACAGTGGCTATCATCTAAGCCAACTAATTTATGACAAGGGAAGAGATCTATCAAGTATTTCTGCAGACAAAAATACACACTGCTACGCAGATACCACCAAGCCAGTATATCTGGCAGGGATTGTTTTAGACTCAAATTGCCACCGGAATTGCTACGTAAGTATATATTTATACACACACATATACGCATTCACCAGTGACTTAGGCACCAAGCAAGCTGTGTGTCTACAGCCTTGCATGAATAACTCATGGCTCAAACAGTCTCCTCATGTGGAGTACATCAGATCTCAAGATCAGCACGAGAGGAGAGCGAGGTGAAAGGAAGAGCTTGGACAGTGATTCAAGACCCCAAAGCAGCCATGAAAGGCATCAGTTCAATACACAACCAAAAAAGTAAGTAAGTCCCCTGAATCTAAGAGAATAGAATTCATATGATCATTCCCAAACTTCTGAGATCATGAGGTACAATTCAAACCCATACTAAGAATCAAGCCAGGTCCTCTTTATTTTTCCCCCCACAGACCATTTCAAATATCCCTAATGCTTTGTCATGTTAATTAGGGAAAAATTTAAAATTAAAAAAAAAAAAGAACTTGCTTTAGCTACAAAGCATAAGGTGCTGATAGTCCCAAAAGAAAACTGCTACTCCCATGATTGCGCTCCCATGAGAAATGATGCTGTTCCTGCCATCTGCTGTGCTATTACTAGTCATTCATAATGATAAATCCGTCATAAGAAATATGTTCACATGAAGGCTGTGACATATGTTTTCTATTAACAAATGATAAAGAATCCTGTAATACACTGCAGATGCAGTTTTGCAAACTGCACTGTTTAGAGGAAAATAATGGCACATGTCACTGAGCCCAATCCTGCTCTGGAAGCCACAACATAAGATGGTGCCTGTGTTAACTTCCATGACTTCTTCACTGAACGAGTCTTACACACATACACTACCAGATCTTGTACATGACTACTACAGAGCACTGGAGAAGAAACACACAGGGTTAGCCAAGGATCTTAACTCCAAGTGCTCCCCAGCTCCACTTATCAGACCAAGCCAGATGGGAAAAATATGATTTCCAAAAGGGAAGGGGTTGGCACAGAGTGACAGCATGTGCTTATAAACACAGCTGCAGGAATAAAGAACAGACTGAACTCCAGGAAGGCAATGGACAATTGTTCCCAGAGAGAACTGTGATGAACATTAACACCATGCATTTCTGTAAGACAATTCCTGCTCTTTAGCAAGCAATGCAAAAGCACAGAAAGATCAACAGCAGAGCCACATGTAAATAGACTCCCTGAAGCTGGGCACCAGTAGCAAAGGAACCCTAGCAACACCAGGCTTGGCACTACTTTTTACTCCTATAGCACTCAGAAATTTTAACAGCAACACTTCTTGCACCTCCTTAAGCAGAGACAGGAGAAAGAAGTCCAGAGAACAAAGCACTGAAGGCTCCTACACTCCAAATCCAGCCATGCTGTACTGTCCTGTATGAGCTATTGTGTACAACAGCAGCTTCGCCCTCCAGTGCTCTACTTCTGCCACTCCAGCCAATACTATAAGGTACTAATGTGCTAAATAATGTCAGAGGCACTTTTTTGGTACATTTTCATAATCCATATTGAAAATAATTAAATTTAAAATAAAACTTAAAAGAATCCTAGTCCCTCCACATGCATTTTTCTTTTCAAGGTAACAGATCACTTGGTTAACAAGTCTATTCTATTACTATGTCTAGTTACTGAACAGCCTCGGTACAAAGAAAAATGAGAACACCTTCAACTCACATTGTTTTTCCTGCAGAAAGCCAGATGAGCAAAACGCAGACTCTTCACCTGCAAAAGGAAGAAACCACAATGTAAACCAAAATCACTTTACAGAACTCTTTACTTTTTCTACTGTGTTGCAGTAAATATTTTGCAACTGACCACTATTGGCTTCAGTGGGAATAGCTCAGCATATGACACCCCTGACAACTGCTGTAATCTGTTCAAAGTGGTTAGCCTTGAAGCTAGATTTTACCTTTTATATTCAATCTATTTGATAACCTGCAGCATTAGCCACTGAATCTCTAACCAAGAAATGGCATAACTTACCTAGCAATACAAAACAGATTCCTATTCCAAATATTTAATTAGCAGCTTTTTAAAGAATGTTTCTGTCCTTCCATTCCCTCCCACAGTCCACCCATCCAAAGAAAGTTGCAAGTACAAAGGGATTTTCTCAGATCTAAATACAAAAACCTAATATACCGAGACACAAGAACATGGGAATAAAGGCTCTTTCTGTAGATAAAGTCCTCCTACAGCACTCCAGCCATTTCTACCATGGAGGGTAAACATCTTTGCCATCATTCCACCACAAGAGAAACCAAAGCAAAAAGGCATCACATCAGCCTACATCTATCATCAGAGTTGGGATGGGAACACAGGTCTCTCAATCCCTTCTCTAGATTCCTTCTTCAGAGGCCCAGCAACTTTTTTCCTGGAGCCTACCTACCCCTTGAGTATATGCACAGACACAGCATCAGCTGCTGGGGCACAGCTGGCTCAACAGCAGAGACCACGTTCTGTTACGTTGTTTGGCAACATAGAACAGACTGCAAATGACAAGCACCAGGGAAGCTGGTGGCACCTCAGGATAGGGGAATAAAACAGCGCACGTCCTGCCATCGCCTGCCCACTGATTTTCATGTGTTCAAATGAAAGCTTCTGCCCAGTGCCTTAAGAAGACTAAAGAACTTGTAAGCATTGTTTCTCATCTCATGAATTAAAAATGCTGTCACACTAAATACAACTAGGGTTAATATATAAAAACTAACAATAATGTTTTACTCCTCTGATGGATGCAGCAGTACAGAATAAGAACTCTGAAACTATTCTCTTTTTCTTCAGATGCCCCAGCTATCAAATTGACTTGGTTTCTAAGAGAGTAAAAAGAAAAGAAAAAATGACAGGCTTTCAATATACAGCAAAGAAATCTGCTTTAGTCCATTCTTTGTGCAAGCAGTACTTGCAGTACACTACTGTACTTCACTTTTGAAGAACAAAAATTATTTGAGTTAGCTACTTTCCAAATTTCACATACCATCTCTTTCCTTTTCAGTTCCTCACCAGGACAATTCACAGACTCTTGTTCTGACAAAGAGCTTGGGTCACAACTGTTACCTGCTTTCAACTTATTAGGGAAGAAATATTAACTGCAACAGCTCACAGAGACAGTCATTGCTGAGGCAAAGCAGCCATCAGTCACTGCCTTGGGATGAATGTGTGAAACTCTCAGGAATGTGAGAGCTAAAAGCAAAAACCGGGTCTCCATGACAAGAGCACAGACCAGCCTTCTGAAGTGCTTGTATACACACTTACACTAATTACAACATGGAAAACAATGTGTTTCTCGAAGAAAACTCCTTTCCATGGCAGCTCTGAATGGCTGTGCAGACAGAAACTCTCCTTCTCAAAAGAACAGACAGAAGGTGAAGACACTTCCACTACAGAACTAAAACTCATTTTTATTTGGTCGGTTTAAGAAACGGTGTCTTTTTTTTAAAGCCTTACTAACAAATTTCAAATTTGCAAGTACATTTTTAACATGTACATTTAAGCCTTTCAGTACATCTTACTGTGCCTGTTCCACATTTTTCATCTCACAGTAGATTTAATAGATTCTGAAAAAAAAGCCACTTCTCTGCCCTGGAATTGAAAGATGATCTGCAATTACTCTATTTGTATGCTACTTAAAACAAAATTAGCAAGCAGTTTTTTGGGCAACGCTGAAACCAGAATAGAAGACACTTTGTTTTCCCACAAAGGATTGCTAACACCAGTAGAAATAAACGTATCTATTCACCAGAGAAAGCAACTGTAGGTAAAATTATTTTAAGATTCACAAAGTTACCTTTAGTGTCATGCTATGGTACATTGCCATTACACATACATGTAGATTTGCAGACCTGTAGCCATTTCTCATTCATGTAGTTGTGCTCCTGACATGTCAGAGGGCATTTTGTACAGCTCTTGTCTCTCATTTTGCTCTTGCCTGGGATTACATTTGATAATGGGATCAGTGTCAGAGGCCAGCACAGCAGAACAGTTGTGTACCTCAGGACGAGGGAGGTATCCAGGGGATTATTCTTTTCTTTCTTTCCCCACACATTCAGTCTTGCAGTACTGGCTACAAGAGTGCCAACAGGCTTTATGGCACACAATTTTCTGTCTTCTAATCATCTGAATTCATGTAACAACATAACCAGACCACTGGAACAAACAACGTTCATGCTCCACTTTAGAACATTCTTGCCTCAGCAAGAATACTATGAAAATTAACTTCTGAATAGAAAAATCTGTTTTGGTATTTTTTTTTAAATGCCTGGCAAATTTAAAACTGGTGTGTGGACAGTTATGTCAAACTTGGGAAAATAAAGAAAGAGGAAAGGAGGCAATATACCCACAGATGGCATGACCCTCTGGATGAGAATGGCAGCCAGGGAAACTCTAGGCCCAAAGAAACTGATGCAAGAACACATGCTGATTTCACCATTGGACTGGATCTTAATGCAGACTGAAAAAGGAAAAGGGAGGGACTGCAAGGAAAGCAATGCTCTCTGCAGCAGGACTCAGCCCTCAGCTAAAAAATATCTCAGCAGCCAGTTTAAGCTTCCTCCACTCTGCATACAATTGCTGAGCTGTATTCTAGAACATACAGCATCAGAAAATTAAATTATGGCAGTTGCACAACACTGGTAACCTGCCCTACTATAAACTGCTAGCAGTGATGATTTGCAGAAATCCAATCCACCGCTTCTCTCCAAAACCTGCTGCTAGAAGTAAAATCTGTTCTCTATATGAGCCATCTGATGTGTTTTGGAATGCTGATGACTATCGTAGTTTTCATCCTTCCCTTTCACTATCCACTAAGCCAAATATTCTGTTTGCCATTCTTCACATTAATAGGCAGCAGATGCTATTGCAATAAACTTAATAGCAGCATAAACACTACAGTCAGTTATGTAAAACCACCCTTTAATTAATTATATGAGTCCAGGAGGGCATGACAAGGAGAGGTAAATCACATGCTGCTGGGGGGAAGGAAGAGAGCAGTTTGTTTACACAGAACATTCACAGTGGACAAAATTAGGCAAGGCAGCCCTCAGAGAAGAGAGAAAGAGAGAGAAGGAGAACCACTAGTAGAAGGTAAAACTCACTATTAGCAGTCATGAGGGTGTAGAGGTTTTTGTGTTATACTGAGTGTTTTGACCATTGCATAAATGTTGTAGAACCTCTGAGACACACGGCAGGTGTACCAAAGGGGACTGAATCAGTGAGCTAGTGAAAAATGAGACCAGATGAACAATTCAAAGACACCTCAACCTGCACCAGTCTTACACAGAAACCCTGGTTTCCCGTGGGAGTTTAACGGATCCAACTCAACATAGCTCGTAATTTCAGATACTGTAGGTTAGTATCCACATTACAACTGACAAGTATCTTAACAAAAAGTCTAAACTATGCAATGCAAAAAATTAACCATTCCCATTTAAGTGGAGAATGCTAATTCACAGTCAAGTTGGCATAGCTGAAATATTTTCTCTGTATTCCCTTGATCTAATAAAAAAATTAACTTTTATTTTAAACATTAGAATTACAAAATTGAACAAAACAAGACTCGCATAGAATTATACTGAATCATTTTATACACAGGAAATAATTAAGTGAGAAAGAAATATACATATCTGACATTATTGTAGAGGAAGATTATGCAAATATACAAATTATACAAGGAAGGATAACGAGAGAAAAAATCCAATCTTTCCTGAAAAAAATTACCTTAGCAGCTGCATTCCTGCCATACTTTGCAGTTAACTCAGGGCTGATTGCTAGCACCTAAGCAGTTTTCCTTGCCAAAAGTGCATGTAACCGTTGAACAGGGAGCTGCAGGCTCTGTTTTATTCCTAAACAAGCACCTTATGTACATATTTAAACACTGTACGACCTTTATTGTTTACTTAAAACGAGATTAACTTCATTTCACAAAAAACAATAGATGGTTTTCAGACTACAAAGTCTTTCCCCTTCCACAAAAACATCAACTTGAAGAGTGATGTAGCTAAACTTTCCTCTTACACTTAGGATTTGTACGTATTTTACAACAACCTAGTTGAATGTCTGATGAAGACAGATTGCTTGAAGTTGATTAATTACTTCTCTCTCACATCAGTGTTTCTCATAACAGATGACTGGACAGACTCTTAATTTGATGGAAAGATAAAGCAATACTGTTACATAGCCAAATTAAAAACTGTTTATGCCCTAAAAAACAATAAAAGAGCAATTACTTTCTCCTTTGCTTTCCTCCACCTTCCACTACAGGGTGAGACCAGAGTAAATCTTTGCAGCAGCTGTTTGTGTATCCTACCCTTCTGACTGGTATTGTCTTACCTTGTGCATTACTTTAGCCTAACCAGAGGTTCAAGAGGTCTGGGACAAGCACAAACACATTTTCGTACCTGCTTAATGCTCTTGAATGCCCAGGACAATTTTTGGGAGCTTAGTGCACTCTGAAAAGCTGGTCCTTGTGCTCAGTCCACTCAAAACCAAACCAAACTCTCTCAAAACAGAAGGAGAATCACTGTCATCAACCTAAGTCTTTATAGCAGCCTTCTGCACACAAGACAACAGAAAACATGAATTCCAAGTAGATCAACAAAAGCTATTGTCAATCCTAAGGCTTTGGAAATGCAATGTCAGCACCAAAGGGTGCCCAGTGTACAGTGTGGAAGCAGATAATGGCTGATCAACCCTTCTATGAAGTAAGTCTCTGCTAAAAGCTACTAGGA